TGTCTAAAACACCCAGAGCCAAGTATCAGATCTTGTCTAAAACACCCAGAGCCAAGTATCAGATCCTGTCTAAAACACCCAGAGCCAAGTATCAGATCCTGTCTAAAACGCACAGAGCCAAGTATCAGATCCTGTCTAAAACACCCAGAGCCTAGTATCAGATCTTGTCTAAAACACCCAGAGCCAAGTATCAGTTCCTGTCTAAAACATCCAGAGCCAAGTATCAGATCCTGTCTGAAACACCCAGAGCCTAGTATCAGATCCAGGAAAAATTGCAGGGAATCATGAAATCACAATAATAACTACATTTAAAATGAAGTCACAAATTATTGTGACATTGGATTTTGCAATCAAAGATGACATTTCAATACGCAAACCGGACAAATTATCTGCATCGCGGTCACGCCTCAACTGATCAGCCACAATAGAGGACTATTTCCGAAAATTAAGTGGGGCTGCTGCAAACGGATTATCCAATGGAAACTTTAAACCCTACTATCTTTTACAAACAGCTTGTCGACTGAAGGCAAGTGCACTACCCGACCATGATCACCTTTAGTTACCTTTGTGTATTAAAAAAGATAGATAATTTATTTATTATCTAAAGTAATTCTAAACAAATAACTGAGTTGGGACATAAGCCTTGTATGGAGAAAGTTTGAACAAAGTATCTAAATTAGAGTTTTTAATGAATGATGTCCCTTTTCTGGAAAAAAACCTTCTCAAACTTCCTACTATTCTTGGTGCAGATTGGGGAGTATTAGTCTGCTATTTAGTATTTTGGTGACTCGTGCGTTGCATGTATATTAGATTAAAATTAATTTCTCATTTCAGTTATCTAAAAGTGCAAAAAAGAAATCTGCTAGACCGCGAAGGGAGAAAGACAGCAGCAAATTACCAAACGACACACAAGGTGAAAATACTATTTCAAGTACAGGTGACACATGTTTCTAATGATAAATCAAAAAGGTAACTTAATCTTAATTATATATAAGGAGATACAATATAAATCTTCAGAATGGTGTCATCTTCATTCATATACTTAATTGGATAATTCGTCTGACCTATTTATATATAAATATATTGTATGAGTAGGACTTCAATATCTATAACAAGTATATTTTGTTTTCCTTATGTATTCCTGGTATCTTTTAGAAAGCTACTAATGTGTTAAATTTGCCAAGAGAGATCTTGTGTTGAAAGGAAGTGGTACATAATTCAACAAACTATTGAAACTATCCATAGACAAACAGAACTTTATGTTGCTTTCACTTCTTATTCTGGTAGCCACTAAGCCCATGCTTTGACTTTTAATATGTAATGTTTCACTCTTATAAACTTACCATAGTTGAAACTCTTCAAATTTGTATTTTGTAATCTACAGATTCTCAGTCTAAACCCAAAAGAAAAGTTAAAAAGGCAAAGATTAGACAGAAACATGAGCATGAATGTCACAGCTCAGAGGAAGGCAAGGAAAACAAGAAACCAACAGGAAAACATGTGAAAGTCAGGTCACACTCGCCCCGTGTTTCAGAGACTGTTTCCGTTTCGGATGAAGGAGAGCAGGGTGTGCCTGTGAGGAAGAGTGGTGCATGTACTGATCTAACAAGGTCTCCGATAAAACGGGGTGAGAGGGGGAAACTCAGAAAAAAAACTAAAAACCTAGTCAGCACTGCCGAGTCACCTGGTGCAGATTTACCGGAAATTAAAATACTGAGAAAGGGACATGACATTCGTCTGTCAAGTGCACGATCATCTTCAGAAAGCCCAGAATATTTTGGAGAATATGTAACAGAATCTACAAGAATACATAGTGATGCCAGTCTTGATTGTGTTTTAGACTCGGCTGATGTATCGGCCATTTCATTCCATCGTAATGACAGTTTATCTGGTAGTACATGTGTAGATAGCTTTCAGTATAACTCGAATGAAGACTCGTACAAACAGTTAAATATAAAAGGTCAAAGGTCAAGGCTAAATGATGTCGGTTCCAACAGCTCCGACGCTTCATCTACCGATAGCAACGTGTGTTCGAATTTTCAGGCACTGAGAATAGATAATTCAAAACACTTTGATGGTAAGGGAAATAACTCGTCAAAAACTGTTGACAACTCGGACCTCTACACAACTGCCATAGATCCATGTATTGTTGAAGATAGTTTGGAAGTGAATCAGTCTCCGTGTAAGTCTGAGAAAGATGCTATAGAAACCTCCTCCGGCTCTAGTTACGAAGTAGAAGATGTGTCGGTACAAGTGCATTCAGAGTCGGAGGTTTTCAATTATAAGAAAACTAGCGGGTGTACGTCAAAGGAAACAACGGCAAATTGTGGTCTCAAACCTTCCCACACAAGCTCAGGAAGTGGATCGTCGTATGAGGTGGAAGATGTATCTGTACAGGCCGATTCTGTTGTCGAAGAGTCTCGCGTCCTCCGTGGTACATCTCCACGGACTACAACAAAGAAAGATAAACATTTAAAATCAGGGTCCTCTTCTTCTGAGAAACATGAAGATGATTCGTTTGTGGAGGTAGAAGATGTATCAATGCAGACCAGTTTTCAAATCCCTCCCGGTACATCTTCAAGAATTTCGACATGGAAACTTACACTTTTGGAATCAGGGTCATCTTCTTCTGAAAAAAAAGACGATGATTCGTTTGTGGAGGTAGAAGATGTATCCATGCAGACTAGTTTTCAAATCCCTACTGATCCCCACCCAACTGGTAAAACAGAGGATTCGTGCAGTGCCGCTGATTCGAAGTCCAAGTCTTTTTGTGATGAACTTGAAGACATTTCAACACACAAATGTGAGCAAGTGGAGAGTAAAGAGGATGATTACCAGTCCGGTCTTGAGGATTTAAACAATATCAGTCTCCCTGACCTTGACTTCGGCTTGCAGCCACAGATCACTTTCACGAAAAGGGACCCCAGCATATATTTTGATGCGAAAGATTTGTCGAAGCAGCCAACAAAGCTAAATAAAAGAGACCCAAGTGTGTATTTTGATGCTAAACAGTCCCTTCTTAGTAGTTCACAGTCATCAAACTCCAGTTGTGAACAAACTAATAGCCCAAAAGACTCCATTAAACACAGACCTAAGGGAGATAACTACATCGTAGACAACCAAGAAATACCACCAGGCTTTGTTTCTATCAGTGACACTGATTCTGAGGATGATTATCCAGCAGAGAAAACACCAAAAATTACCAAAACGAAAAAACATCAAACGAAAAATTTCTCATCGGATTCTGAGGATGATTTGGTGTGTAATTCAAATCTTAAAAACAAAAGAATAAAATCCCAAAGGAAGTATTCCTCATCCTGCGACTTCTCTAAAGAGCCTGATGTCAAGTCAATCTCAAGAAAAACCGGTGGCCGTAAACACTTGCATAACCCCAGAACTACTAATGCTGGAATAACAGGAAAGAGTACTAGCAGACAGAAGGTCAAATATTCTACAGACGAGTCTGACAACTCACTTCCGGACTTGGACAGTGGAAACAAGGTTTCACAACAGTTATCAGACAAACACTGGAGGTGATTATGAATACTGGTATCACAGCCAATATCTTTTTATTTGTTTTAATCACATTCAAAGCTGAAGTTAAATATTTATGAATTACTGCATCTGTGAAAGTCTTATCATGATACTTTTATTGGACCTCAGTGATTGCAGTCCTTCTTTATTGAGGCTTGGTAGTCTAGTGGTAGGACACTGGGCTCGTGACCGAAGGGTTGCAGGTTCCAGTCACGTCACGGCACTTTGTAGTAGCTTTAAGCAAGATACTTTACTCCGCTTGTTCCAGTCTACTCAGCTGTACATGATTATGTGGTTGGGTAGTACTAGAATTGTAGAATGCTAGCTGTGAGCGCCGTTTTTTTTTATTAGCAAATGTCATTTTAGATCAGTTTTATCAATGTTCTTTTAATTTCTTTTAATTTTCTAGATGTGATAAGGATATGATAAATAAGACTGAATTTTATAATTAGAAATCACTAATCTTCCACATGCATTTAATATAAAACAATAAATTAATTTAGCAATAAAATGAAGAGCATATATACCATACACAATTTAAATCTTAATTGATTATTTTAACACACTGTGAAATTGTCATTTCCATGCAGAACCAAACAGACCATTGAAGTGGATTCCTCAAGTGATGAAGATACTCTAGAAACCTGTAAGTACCTGTATATGTGGGTAATGCATTGTGGTGCTGTAAGTTCTTGTATATGTGGGAAATGCATTGGGGTGCTGTAAGTACTTGCATAGTTAGTCAATGCATTGTGGTGCTGTATGTACTTGTATATGTGGTTAATGCATTGTGGTGCTGGAAGTACTTGTATATGTAGGTAATGCATTGTGGTTCTGTAAGTACTTGTAAATGAGGGTAATGCATTGTGGTTCTGTAAGTACTTGTAGAGTGGGGTAAGGCATTGTGGTGCTGTAACTACTTGTATATGTGGCTAATGCATTGTGGTGCTTCAAGCACTTGTATATGTGGGGAATTCATTGTGGTGCTGTAAGAACTTGTATATGTGGGAATTGCATTGTGGTGCTGTCAGTACTTGTATATGTCGGTAATGCATTGTGGTGCAAAGGCCATTTATTTATTCCTTTCCTACAAAAAGATATATTTCATTACACATATATACCATACACAATTTAAATCTTAATTGATTATTTTAACACACTGTGAAATTGTCATTTCCATGCAGAACCAAACAGACCATTGAAGTGGATTCCTCAAGTGATGAAGATACTCTAGAAACCTGTAAGTACCTGTATATGTGGGTAACGCATTGTCGTGCTGTAAGTACTTTTATATGTGGGTAATGCATTTTGGTGCTGTAAGTACTTGGATATGTGGGCAATGCATTGTGGGGCAAAGGTCATTTATTTATTCCTTTCCTACAAAAAGATATATTTCATTACACATATATACCATACACAATTTAAATCTTAATTGATTATTTTAACACACTGTGAAATTGTCATTTCCATGCAGAACCAAACAGACCATTGAAGTGGATTCCTCAAGTGATGAAGTTACTCTAGAAACCTGTAAGTTCCTGTATATGTGGGTAACGCATTGTGGTGCTGTCAGTACTTGTATATGTAGGTAATGCATTGTGGTGCAAAGGCCATTTATTTATTCCTTTCCTACAAAAAGATATATTTCATTACACATATATACCATACACAATTTAAATCTTAATTGATTATTTTAACACACTGTGAAATTGTCATTTCCATGCAGAACCAAACAGACCATTGCAGTGGATTCCTCAAGTGATGAAGATACTCTAGAAACCTTTAAGTACCTGTATATGTTGGTAATGCATTGTGGGGCTGTAAGTACTTGTAAATGAGGGTAATGCATTGTGGGGCTGTAAGTACTTGTGTCTGTGGGTAATGCATTGTGGGGCTGTAAGTACTTGTGTCTGTGGGTAATGCATTGTGGTGCTGGAAGTACTTGTATATGGGGGTAATGCATTGTGGGGCTGTAAGTACTTGTATATGGGGGTAATGCATTGTGGGGCTGTAAGTACTTGTAGATGTGGGAAATGCATTGTGGGGCTGTAAGTACTTGTGTCTGTGGGTAATGCATTGCGGTGCTGTAAGTACTTGTATATGTGGGAAATGCATTGTGGTGCAAAGGTCATTTATTTATTCCTTTCCTACAAAAAGATATATTTCATTACAGTTTTTACATACATATTAAAAAAATAAAAACTCACATTAATGCAAGTTTGATTGTATGTGTTGTGTAATGTGAATTTGATTTATTTTGTTTAAACCACTAATACAGTGTCTTTGAACAACAACGTAATACAGCTATTTTGTACAACAATAATCATATAATGGTGACCTTGTACAACGACAATGCAGTGTAATATCTAAAAAAAAAAAAAAAAAAAAAAAAAAAAAAATTTCNTGTTTTGCATACTTTGAAAATAAATGCAGAGTACCCATGAAGGGAGGAAATCAACAGCCTTGCATGTAACTTAAGTTCTGTACATTTTCAGTTTTTCAGAAAATGAGGGGGTCCAAGAAAAAGCTGAGTAGTGAAGAGGAGGAAGAAAGTGATAAAATGAGGTAAAAACAAACGGAGGACTTGTCATGTTATATTATAATACTAAGACCACATACTTCAAAATAGATATAATGTATGCTATCTTTACTGCAACATGTAACCTTCCCTTTAAAAAGAGTTGTTAGTTTAAAAAAAAAATGTAATAACTGGTTATCTTTAAAATCTAATTATGTACATTTGTAATATTGTCTTTTTATTTTTGGAAAATGTACTAGTCCAGATGATCCATTTGCATTACATTTTTGTTGGTCCAGACAGCTGAAGTTGTCACAAATAGCCAGTCTACCAGGAAGTTGTTTGGTCCTACACCATATTTAAATACTTGTTTGTATTTTAACTTGGATATTTTCAAAACTTTTTTTATCTCAAAGTATTTTGTCATCTTGATCATTCATAATCACCCATATATATATGTATATATTTAAACCGGACTTACCAAGCCTTGGATTTTGTAAGGTTCAGCTGTGACTTTTTGTGGTTTAATGGGATGATATTATGTGTCAAAGTTCAACTGTAATTCTGAGAAAAAGGTATTCAGATCACATCATATTAATTTCGTAGCATGAAGGGGTTCATCGTGGCGGACTCGGAAGTCAGTGAGGACGAGGATGATCTGTTCTATATGAGTACATCCTACAAGTCCTCATTTCACAGTACAGACGACCCAAAGTGAGTACTACCAAGGATAGAAAATAGTTGACTTTTTTGTGTGACGGATGACAGGCCAAAATTTTAAAAAAAATACTCAGAAATGTGTGGTTTTTGATAGTTTAAATTTTCAACCTATTCACATATTAATTGCAGTTTTTATATCGCTTTCCAAAGACGTCCTTAAATGACCTTAGATGTTAATAGGACATTTAACACAATAAAACCAAAACCAAAGACTTGTCCAGATATTTTAAGATGGTCACCATTCAAAGAGAAAGTGAACAATGTGTCAGTATTTTCTTTTATTCTACAGGAAAATTTTACCAATAGTTTTCCGCTGCAGCAGTTCAGAAGACGAAGATTTCAAAACTCCCAACGTGAGTGCCAAAAGCAGCACGGATCATGGATTTAAAACGCCTTTAAGCACAAGTAAGAAATACAAACATTAATTTGTCACAGTGACATGTAATTAGTCACTGCACTGTCATCACCTGGCATTAGCATGTAATGTAATGAAATTCTTTCTTAAAAAATTGTAATGCGACATAATTAATGACAAAAAATGGATAATATTGAGGATTTTTGGTAAGAGCTTGACTTTGTGTTTTTTTTTACTAATACGTACTCCATCAATACCAGTGGATATTGATGACAAGCAGGAACCAGGGAGGGGAGGGTGTGTCTCTATCCGGCCCTTTTTCGGCTGCTGTTGCTATAGCTAGTACAAGTATGATTTGACTCTCTAATGCAGGGTTCTCCCCAGGCCATTTAGCTGATAGGGAACTAGATCAGCTTCAGGTAGAAATCCTACTTGCCATATCAGCCTAATTGGCCCATATCACCTTTGTTACCTCCTTATAGTAGGTAATTGTTTTGAAGATTTCCTGACAAAAATTTAGAAATTTGCAAGAAACATTATTCAAAGTAGTTGGAGTCCCAGCCACAAAAGATGGGTGCAGGACATCAGCGTTTAATACATGATTTTACATAGATTGGTAGATTAGAAATAACTACATGTAAAAATTTAACTGGGAGTACCATTAGGACATATATTTATAAATAAGTGATTATGGCTAATTTATAGGAGGTAAGATACCTTTTTACTGTTATTATTATTTTATTAACCTCGAGTCAACTGACTCATGGGTATAATACATATATTACAAGATAAGTACAACATGTTATGCAATACAATACAGAATAACATATGGACATATGTTAAGAGGAGAGTGACTCTTTACGTACACTTGTTGCCAAAAGATACCTGTACATGTATATATTTAGTTAAGATACCTGTACATGTATATATTTAGTTAAGATACCTGTACATGTATATATTTAGTTAAGATACCTGTACATGTATATATTTAGTTAAGATACCTGTACATGTATATATTTAGTTAAGATACCTGTACATGTATATATTTAGTTAAGATACCTGTACATGTATATATTTAGTTAAGATACCTGTACATGTATATATTTAGTTAAGATACCTGTACATGTATATATTTAGTTAAGATACCTGTACATGTATATATTTAGTTAAGATACCTGTACATGTATATATTTAGTTAAGATACCTGTACATGTATATATTTAGTTAAGATACCTGTACATGTATATATTTAGTTAAGATACCTGTACATGTATATATTTAGTTAAGATACCTGTACATGTATATATTTAGTTAAGATACCTGTACATGTATATATTTAGTTAAGATACCTGTACATGTATATATTTAGTTAAGATACCTGTACATGTATATATTTAGTTAAGATACCTGTACATGTATATATTTAGTTAAGATACCTGTACATGTATATATTTAGTTAAGATACCTGTACATGTATATATTTAGTTAAGATACCTGTACATGTATATATTTAGTTAAGATACCTGTACATGTATATATTTAGTTAAGATACCTGTACATGTATATATTTAGTTAAGATACCTGTACATGTATATATTTAGTTAAGATACCTGTACATGTATATATTTAGTTAAGATACCTGTACATGTATATATTTAGTTAAGATACCTGTACATGTATATATTTAGTTAAGATACCTGTACATGTATATATTTAGTTAAGATACCTGTACATGTATATATTTAGTTAAGATACCTGTACATGTATATATTTAGTTAAGATACCTGTACATGTATATATTTAGTTAAGATACCTGTACATGTATATATTTAGTTAAGATACCTGTACATGTATATATTTAGTTAAGATACCTGTACATGTATATATTTAGTTAAGATACCTGTACATGTATATATTTAGTTAAGATACCTGTACATGTATATATTTAGTTAAGATACCTGTACATGTATATATTTAGTTAAGATACCTGTACATGTATATATTTAGTTAAGATACCTGTACATGTATATATTTAGTTAAGATACCTGTACATGTATATATTTAGTTAAGATACCTGTACATGTATATATTTAGTTAAGATACCTGTACATGTATATATTTAGTTAAGATACCTGTACATGTATATATTTAGTTAAGATACCTGTACATGTATATATTTAGTTAAGATACCTGTACATGTATATATTTAGTTAAGATACCTGTACATGTATATATTTAGTTAAGATACCTGTACATGTATATATTTAGTTAAGATACCTGTACATGTATATATTTAGTTAAGATACCTGTACATGTATATATTTAGTTAAGATACCTGTACATGTATATATTTAGTTAAGATACCTGTACATGTATATATTTAGTTAAGATACCTGTACATGTATATATTTAGTTAAGATACCTGTACATGTATATATTTAGTTAAGATACCTGTACATGTATATATTTAGTTAAGATACCTGTACATGTATATATTTAGTTAAGATACCTGTACATGTATATATTTAGTTAAGATACCTGTACATGTATATATTTAGTTAAGATACCTGTACATGTATATATTTAGTTAAGATACCTGTACATGTATATATTTAGTTAAGATACCTGTACATGTATATATTTAGTTAAGATACCTGTACATGTGTATATTTAGTTAAGATACCTGTACATGTGTATATTTAGTTAAGATACCTGTACATGTATATATTTAGTTAAGATACCTGTACATGTATATATTTAGTTACGATACCTGTACATGTACATGAATATATTTAGTTAAGATACCTGTACATGTACATATTTGTGTGATCAGAGAAAAAGAAGCCGCAGAAGCTGCCAACACCCGGGACAGATAACTGGGGTCTGAAGGAAGACAATTGTTTGTACCCTTCAAATACCAAGTACAGCTTCCTCAAGTCCCTCACAGAGAACCTACCTGTGGACAAGTGTGACCCAGAGGCTATCAGGTACAGTGTGTTATTGTAATATTGTATCATCTCGGTTACCTTTACTGGTGTCTGCGTAACTTTTCACTTTTCTAACTTTTCTTTAGTTTAACAAGACAGATTTTGACATAAAGTTTGCATATGACTGACAGTTGTGCTACCTTTTGGCGTGAATAAAACCCATTATGGCTGTCATGTCTTCTGATTAGCAGAGGCATTTTGTAATACTGAACATCTTTCAAGGAAATTTTACCCAAGATTGTTTTAAATGTTCCACTTCTGACCTGGAAAAGTGTTAATAGTTTTAAGCCATTTTTAAATCAAACCCATTATATTATACCTGTCCTGTCATCTGATAAGAAGAGACATTTTAAAATATTGAACAACTTTTAAGCAAATTTTACCCAAGATTGCTATAAATATTCCTTTTCTGACCCGGAAAATGTTACCGGTAATAATTTTATAGACATTTTTAAATCAAATGTGGGGAACACTGGCATCTGATTGCAGATCAGTATTTCCTTTGGTACTTTTATTCTCAATACTAAATCTCCATTACATGTGAACACTCCATTGGGCCCTTGTGTTATATATTCTTTTCTTTATTTAGACTCGTCAAAACCTTTAAGAAAACCAAGCAAGAGCTGACCAAACGCCTTTTTAAAATCTACAATGAAACAGTGTTTGAAAATAAGGTAAGTCTGTTAAAAAGGATTCTTAACATTAAACTAGGTGTAAAAAAAAAAATTGATCACCTCTTCTCCCGTAATTGTCTTTGTTCATGTATCACCTGATCATTAACATACATTTGTACATTACTTTGAGGGTAATAAATATATATGTAACATTGTAATCATTATGTACAATTCTGTGTACCTGCCAAGTCACTTGCATTTGTACAGGTTATGGAGGTCAGCCTGCAAATGACCTCCATAGCCTGCACAGGTTGTAGTATATCCCAACACTGAAAATGTTTAAAAATCACATTTTAAAGCTTTAAATATTCAAATACTCACCATGACTCAAATATTAGTTTAGGAAAAGGCAAATTATAGACTAAATGCCATACTACTGATTTTGATGATTTGAAAAGTTTACAGACTGAAAAGACCTGTTATTAGCTGGCTTGATGTGTATTTTGACCAAACATGAAACCATTGATTGTATTCACAGTCCTCAGTCTTTAAATGAACTAAATACTTGAAATTATTTGTTAGGATATACTTGGTGATGGCTATATTTAGTTCATTCCTCTTATTTCTATTGTAATTTCGTTACCATGTCACTAGCGGATTGGAGAGAAAAACCCAGTTATTTTCGGAGGGATCTGCTTATTCTGAAATTATAAGTTATCAATGGTGAATGTTTTCCAGTTACCTGACGATCTGGAGGTGATCTGGAACTGTCGCCTGTTGAGGACAGCTGGCTACTGTGTGTACAAGAAGGTGGCAACTTCAGGAGGTGTTCGCAGCGTCCGCATTGAACTTTCCACCAAAGTCTGTGACTCTGCAGGTACAGTAACTTATCAGTTGGGTTGTGGAACAATCAATCAAAAAAGGTATCATTCCAGATACAGAAATGTATCAGTTGGGTACTTATGTCAGTGTCTGCATGGAAATATCTGACACTTGACTGGTGTTTCAAGACTTTGGAAAAAACTTTGGTAAATGAAAGAAATTGTTAAGTTGAGGAACAGATTTTATATCAAGTGTATCTTCTTTTGTATTTGATGAAGTCAAAGGTGTCTTGTTTGGCAGATAGTTTTTTTTATTGATCTTTCAAAAATATTCCAAAAGCAACTCGACTCCAAATGAGTGTATAATTTAGTTCATCATCGTAACTTTTTTTTATTTTTCATCAAGTCATCATTATAAAATATTACAAATTTAATCCTTGCTCGAAATCCTGATACATTACTGGTTGTTGTTAACAGAGCGTGTACGAGACACTGATACATTACTGGTTGTTTTTGACAGAGTGTGTACGAGACACACTGATACATTACTGGTTGTTGTTGACAGAGGGTGTACGAGACACACTGATACCTTACTGGTTGTTGTTGACAGAGCGTGTACGAGACACACTGATACACGAGATGTGTCACGCTGCAGTTTGGTTAGTGAATGGGACGACGGATGGCCATGGACCATACTGGAGGTATTGGTAAGTATCTTGGAGTACCCTATACAGCTGACTACAGGGGTATCAATAAGGGCCAGTACCCGCTACTTTTTCCTCGTTACAATATAGGTAGGTAACAGCTGGAATCTATCTGAAGCAACGATTGATCAACACTACATGAATGGTTTGTTAAAGAAAACAATTATGGATAAATGATCATTTGAGGGCATGCTTTTTAGCTTACCTGGCCCGAAGGGCCAAGTGAGCTTATGGCATGGTCCGGCCGTCGGCCGTCTGGCCTCAACTTTTTACTTTAAACAATTTCTTCTGAATAACCAAGAGACCCAGGCTGATGATATTTTGCCAGTAGCATGCTGGGATGAAGGGTTACCAAGTTTGTTCAAATGAATGACCTTGACCCACTTTCAACCTAATGTCCTTGTTCGACATTCAAGGTCACAGGCGTCATATATTTAAATCTTTTAATAGGTTCTTATGAATCAAACACTGATATTCCGCCTGTAGCTGTATTTTAGTCAACTTTTTAGATTACAAGTGTGAGATTAATACCTGGTGAGTGACGCAGGCCCATTGGGCCTCTTGTTATAAACAAAAGCTGACCAGTGACCTGAGCCTGTTACCTAAGATATAATCTTACAATTTATGATCAAACAATCACTTAAAGACAAGAAAGGGGACATGATTAATCATTTGATATCCAAACTTTAAAACAACGGTTCAAGAACTTCAAAATCTGAAGAAAAGAAATCAAACCACTTGAAGTGATCAATAATTTTACAATAAGATGTTTGCAGAGAGACTTTGATTTTTTTTGTCTAGTTTACTAATTATATTTAATTGTAATTTCACTCCTGTTTGGTCCTTTTCGATGAGGGTCTTTTTTGGATCTAGTCTATAAATTTCTCTTTAAAATTAACTTCAACTATGAAAAAAAAATCTTCGAAATTTTTATAACAAAATTAAAAGTTAAATAAAGATAGTAAATCCATCAAAAAGAATTAATGAAAAATGAAAGAATGAAAATTGAGATCTATAAATTTGAAAAATATGTTTATTGTCTTTGATTGTGATTCTAAGGTTGAATTGTGCTCTTGACCTCTTAAAGGGTCACACTAACAAAGATGTCACTTATTTTGAAATCTTCAAACAACTTCAAATACATCCTGTGTCTATGAGTAATTATACTTATTCCAGAATGTGTGCCATGGGGTGTAAGATCAACAAATTGTTTAATTTATAACATTTTTCACATCAAGGTAAAAAGGATCAGTTGTGTTGAAATCTGCAAACAAAATCTAACAAACCACAAGACCTCGAGGAATGGTATTTGATCTGTATCTCGCTTAGAGAGAAGGATGGCTATCATGTTTGTCTAAATCAATTATCTTGTTATTTTCTTCACATGATGATCAGGAAAGCAAATTATATATATCATCTTATTACAGATACAGGTTTCTTTGTGTAACAGAGTGTTTTTATAGAAATCCAATATCAATAAGTTTCCCATAATATCCTAACTTTTTTTTTTTCAGGGCCAAAAAGTCCAATCAGACTCACCCTGAAATTCCTGTGATTGGTCGGTGCCATAGTTACAGCATTAACACCAAGTTTACCTACCAGTGCAGTCAGTGTGGATACAGGTAAATAGTTTGTGTAGTGGATGTTTATTGTGGATACAGGTAAATAGTTTGTGTAGTGGATGTTCAGTTTGGATACAGCTAAATAGTTTGTGTAGTGGATGTTCAGCTTGGATACAGGTAAATAGTTTGTGTAGTGGATGGTTAGTGTGGATACAGGTAAATATATTGTGTGTAATTGATATTCAGTGTGGATACAGGGAAATAGTTTGTGTAGTGGATGTGTAGTGTGGATACAGTTAAATAGTTTGTGTAGTGGATGTGTAGTGTGGATACAGGTAAATACTTTGTGTGTAGTGGATATTCAGTGTGGACCCAGGTAAATATATTGTGTGTAATTGATATTCAGTGTGGATACAGGTAAACAGTTTGTGTAGTGGATATTCAGTGTGGACCCAGGTAAATATATTGTGTGTATTTGGCATTCAGTGTGGATACAGGTAAACAGTTTGTGTAGTGGATATTCAGTGTGGACACAGGTAAATATATTGTGCGTATTTGGTATTCAGTGTGGATACAGGTAAATAGTTTGTGTGTAGTGGATATTCAGTGTGGACACAGGTAAATATATTGTGTGTATTTGGTATTCAGTGAGGATACAGGTAAATAGTTTGTGTAGTGGATGTTTAGTGTGGATACAGGTAAATATATTGTGTGTAATGGATATTCAGTGTGGATACAGGTAAATAGTTTGTGTGTATTGGATGTTCAGTGTGGATACAGATAAATATTTTGTGTTTTGGATGTTCAGCGGGATACAGGTAAATATTTCGTGTGTGTTGGAAATTCAGTGTGGATACAGGTCAATGGTTTGTGTGTATTGGATATTCAGTGTTGATACAGGTAAAAGGTTTGTGTGTATTGGTTATTCATTGTGGATACAGGTAAATATATTGTTTGTATTGGATATTCAGTGTCGATACAGGTAAATGTTTTGTGTGTAGTGGATATTCAGTGTGGATACAGGTAAATGTTTTGTGTGTATTTGGTATTCAGTGTGGATACAGGTAAACAGTTTGTGTAGTGGATATTCAGTGTGGATACAGTTAAAAATATTTTGTGTTTAGTGGATCTATGTTTTACACGTGGTTAGAGGTAACTCCTTGGTGTGGATCTTGTACAATGTGATGTGTTTACTGTTTGTTGTCTCCTTATTATTCATCTATACTGTTTCAATTCTCGACACTAGTGTGATGTTCTCTCTACTTTCAGGATTGGTCGCCATTCCAAGTCTCTGGATATGGACAGAAAGGTTTGTGGATACTGTCGTGGCCGCTTCACATTGCTTAGCAACACTGGACGGGGTGGCTCTACACCAGTTTCGGGCTCGTCTACACCTCGGACCCCCAACAAGTTTGCTTTGTTTGTTAAGGACAACTACGGAGACATCAAGAAACGAGAACAGTCTCTAAAACACAAAGACATTATGAAGATTCTCAGTCAAGAATTTGCAAAAAACAAAATCTCAGGTTGAACTTAAATTTCATGAACTTTTGCAATTGTTTTGTGAAAAATCAAAGTTTCAAGTTGTTTTTAATTCTAATATGTGTCTCAATCATAAATGTTATTCTAATATCAACAGGTTAACATGTGAAATGTGACGTTAGTTAACATTCGACCAATGCTAGGAGGCTGAATCGTGTTTTGATGTTAAACGTCACAATATACCTGGTATCTACCAGAAAACTTTTAAATATGTTTACAAAAGTATGGATATGTAACTCACCATGGATCACCAAAACTCAAAGCTCATGAAAATATACTACAATAAAATGTTATACAACCATGCTTATTGTAATTTCTTCCAAAGCATTATTTATTTTTAATCTGCCAAAGAATTGGTGGTATTGGTGTTACATAAAGTGTAATGTTTCATGCGTTAGTGTTACATAAAGTGTAATGTTTCATGTGTTAGTGTTACATAAAGTGTAATGTTTCATGCATTAGTGTTACATAAAGTGTAATGTTGCTGAAATTGTGTCATAGAAATTGTAATGTTTCAGGTAAAAATATTTAAGTTTCATGTTAAATGTTATATGTTTCTGGTATTATATAGAAAGTGTGATGTTTTAGGTTTCAGTTTTACATAAAGTGTAATGTTTCAGTGATATAGAAAGTGTAATGATTCAGGTTTCAGTGATATAGAAAGTGTAATGTTTCAGGTGTCGGTGATATTGAAAGTGTAATGATTCAGGTGTCAGTGATATAGAAAGTGTAATGTTTCAGGTGTCAGTGATATAGAAAGTGTAATGTTTCAGGTGTCAGTTTTACATAAAGTGTAATGTTTCAGTGATATAGAAAGTGTAATGATTCAGGTGTCAGTGATATAGAAAGTGTCATGTTTCAGGTGTCAGTTTTACATAAAGTGTAATGTTTAAGTGATATAGAAAGTGTAATGTTTCAGGTGTCAGTGATATAGAAAGTGTAATGATTCAGGTGTCAGTGATATAGAAAGTGTAATGTTTCAGGTGTCAGTTTTACATAAAGTGTAATGTTTAAGTGTCAGTGTTGAATAAAGTGTAATATTTCAGGTAATTTTGTTTGCTGGAGATTGATTTTATTGATGAAATAGGCCTGTTGCTGCATATTTATATATATAAATATTTTTCAGCTTTTAAACAAAACCAGACTAAAACTCCATTCCTATGTTTCTGCTTGATGAAGAAATTGTATTTTCCAGTGTGTGAATTAGTATTTTCCTGTGTGTGAGTAAAGGGGATTTTACATACTCTTGAACACATTCCATTCCTGTTTTCGTTTATACCAATTCTTGTGATTTGAAACATTTCATCACAATGTTAACTTATGATTACTTACCTTGATAGTTAAGAATCATTTGGGACAAAGGTATCCTAACCCGAGCAGTTGAGATTTTTCCATTACACACAATAAATAGTGCTAGTGTTTTCCCAAACCTATACATGAGAAACCATTACCAAACTAAATTTATATCAAAGTTTTACTTTATACACAAATACAAAGTGTGTATACACTCTATCGATTGGCAAAGCATACCATGTCAGATGACATAAGAAAATTACAATTTTGTTGTACAGTACAGGTAAACAATACAAATCGCCCACTCAGTCAACACTTGACAAAGGGAAGAGTCAGTCTGGAAACCTTGTGGCACTTATGACATGTACATTGCTTGTGTATGAGGTAAAACTTTGATATTATTGAACATATGTGACATTTCAGCGTGTTTATTCCACCTTCAGGAAAGACAAAGACCATCTTAAAAGGTCAAATGTAACGTAGTTCTGACAGATGTGATAATAACCTACTTTCAAAAGCTTATCATCCAATACAGCCTAAGCCTGATCATTTGTCACCTTAGTAACCCTTGTGACACGGAAACACTCCTTAGTGACACGGAAACACGGAAACACTCCTTATTGACACGGAAACACGGAAACACTCCTTATTGACACGGAAACACTCCTTAGTGACACGGAAACACAGAAACACTCCTTAATGACACGGAAACACTCCTTAGTGACACGGAAACATCCCTGGAGATAACAGAAACAACTAGCGACAAAGATGCATTACTTGGAAAAAAAATCAGTTCTTCAATGTTTTGAAAGCATTCTTAAACTTCTGTTGCAACCATCGAAAATATTAAAAAGAATTAACTAATATTAAAAATTAAAAATGATATTCTTTAATTTCATTGATCTTGATTCTAATACATAATTCAGGAGCAAAGTTCCAGCATCCAATTAGAGAAATGTTTACATTCTTCTTTTAGGTTTCAGATATATGTATCTAGAATTATACAGAAGCCCTCATAATGTTAAGTAAATAATAAATGAAGGGAAGTAACTCCAGACTCCAGGTTTCCATTACACCTATATCCCTATATCAATACACGTATGGAAACCCGGGTTCACGATTTTCTTCTCTCCTTTTATTTAGATGATTGTAATAATCTAGACAACCATGCATACGTTTATACAACTTAGTAAGTTTCTGTGTTCGATGGCAGCCTTGAACATCTGTAGCATGAATGTTACAGGTTGCATAGATAGGTCAGATAGTTGCACAGCAACTGACCTCCTATATGTCCAGTGCTAATAATAGTGACAAAATAATGATTACCAGTTAGTATAAATAAAGCTTGACTTGACAATTACTTTTGGGTTTTTTTCAAACTCAAATCCAAACCCTTCAAAGGAACAGGCATGTATGAAATTTGTCAAATACCTAAATTTTCAATCTAGTCAACATTTATCTGTCAAGTTCATTTCTGTTGACAATATTTAAAGTCACTATTGGCAAAAAGTGATTCTTAAATTTTCACAGATTTAGACTTATTCTAGCATCATGAACGTTTAAGGTGTACTGGCTTTGCAGAAATTGTTAACAAAATCAAATGGAACTGCCTCATTATATACTCTATACTGGGAAAGTTTTACCCTGTCAAACTTTCCCTCCTCACTGGGAAAGTCCATATTTGTTCAGTATTAATTTTGCCCTTCACATGTAAATATATAAACTTTATTATTTTTACAACAATTATGAAACAAGTTGTTACAACTTATACCAATCACTCTTGTTGGCCCGGATGTTAGCGCGCGGGGGTCTTATTGTGGGAGGAAACCGGAGTACCCGGAGAAAACCCATGTGGTCAGGCAGGTGACCTCATACTTTTTCATGTCCGATCGGGGAATCGAACCCCAGCCGTCTTGGCGAACCACTGCGCCACTCGACCACCCATTCACTCGTCAAGATTACCGGGGAAAATAGCATGTTGTTCTTTGATATGCTTTTGTCAGGATTATATCCTACATATCAGTAAACGGGAGCAATGCAAAGATATTATTTAATTAGATTGGCATGCGATTGAACACAAATTAAATAACTTATATTCTAGCTCCTATTCATCACATGACTAAGACATTGTGTAGTGAGTGCACCCATGTCATATATTTCTGTGTATTACCGCATGTATTGTCACACATCGTGGAGTCAAGAGTTCAAAAAATATGAATGGCACCATGGCATTGTGAAGCCACATTCAAGACAACAAAGATGACATCAAAACTGGACTATGGTCAGGTAAAACATCTTTTACAAATACTTGTCATACATTCTTGGTTATGTGGTGAAGCAGATTTTGAGTTAAGCAACATATTTTAATATAATGCTCGGAATTTCTGGGGTAAAATTAATTATTCTTAAACTTGTTTCTAAAATGGAATCTCTTTCCCTATGATTCATAATTCATAATCGTTAATGCTGACTTGATTATTATTTTATAACACTCCCATTAACTCATTCACCCCTGAAGACACATTTGAACTCTTCCAATTCAAAGGTTTGAATAGTCTTTCAGAAATTTCAGGGATGAATGAGTTAACAATGAATTAATGTGTTTAAATGCTGAGCACCGACAGTGAAGCTGACAAAAATAACAACAGGTATGGATTCAAAACTGGAAGCCATCAAATTACAGACTCTTTACACCACGATATCCAGCTGACTTACCATTTATCTACATCGTACACGATCCAGATCTACCATAGACGATTATTGACAGCATTCAACTGAATATTAACTCATGTACTTGTCTGTTTACCAGTCCTGTGACTTGCTATATTTGTTTGTGTAACAGGAGATGAGAAATTGTATGGCAAGACCAGGGTTCGAACCCGGACTTCAGAACTCGAGAAGGAGGCTCCACTTATTGAGCTACCTTGGAGTTGAAGATTGACCTAGTCCAGTTCCGCTACATTCCCCCCCGCTTTTTCTAAGTCTCTGCCCCGAAAACAACAACTACTTACAACCAAGGTGCAGGGCCCACTTGTATAATACATCTCAACTCTTAAGATTTCTTCAAGTCTAAGATTTCCCATAGACATTGCTTGAGATTTTCCTGAACTTTGAGATGTTTTATACAAGTGGGCCCAGGTATCCCCTTGCCAAGCATACATCCAATACTTGAAACATATTAAGGGATGGTCACAGGCACCACTGTAACAGGAGAGGAAAATTGCTCGGCCAGACCAGAGTTCGAACCAGGACCCTTTGAACTCTAGATGGACACACTACCAATTGAGCTACCTGGTCGCAGACGACCGACCCAGTCAGATTTCGCTACATTTGTATAGTGCAATAGCTAAGGTCTATGAGGGGTAAATTCTGCCTTACGGGCAAGCTAGCTTTTCCAGTGTTGTAGTATATAATTCGGGGACTCGTCGGGCTGCCCTGGATAGTAAATGGTATTTTGGCATTAATGTAGACGTCTGAAAACTAATAGCTTCGTCCCGTAAACTTTCTAGTTCAAACTTAGGTTTGTCTATAGTGGTAAAAATGTCATCATTACCGATACAAGCTGTTACCATCATGTCTTTTGAAGACCGACGCCACCAAATGTAACGTACGGCAGGTCACCCATCCAACTACTGACCATGCACGCTCAACCTCGCTGAACTAGTGAGCAGGTCCCCGGATTATACCGCATCACTAGTTCAGTAACGTTGACCGTGGTCAGTAAGCTGATTGGGTGACTGCCTGCATGTTACATTACAAAGTTTATTCATTTTCAGACAATTATGAAACAACTTTGATCACTCTTGATGGCCTAGATGCAAGTGTGCAGGGGGTCTTTGTATGGAAGGAAACCAGAGTCTTAGACAAAACTCGCATTGTCAGAAAGGTGATCCCCCAATAGTGACCTTTCCCGATCTGATTCAGGAAAGTCGTACCCAGTCGTCTTGGAGAATTAGGCAAGACCTGCATTTATGATCCACTGCACATTTTTTATTCCTACCAAATATTACATTCAAACTAATATCTTCCACAACGATGAATATATATATGACATGAAAAAAAATGCAATTAATTACAACATGCACATTTTAAACGATTTTATTCACTTAAACCTTTACCACTGCAAAAGGATTGAGACAAAACATGCTTAGATTTTTTATGATGACAACAACAACTTGAGGTCTATATCTTGGCATTTATTTGTGGGACAGATTGATAACATTTTAATTCAAAAATCACATTGCAGGGCAAAGATATGGTATGTTAAATTCCTTTCCCAAATAAAAATTGTTTCAAATCAGCAGTTTTAAAACCATTTGCAAAATTAATTGATGGAAACTTAAATATTCACATACAGCTTAAAAAATACTTCAGATTTATTTTTTCCACTTTTTATCAGGTTTCTTAGGTTGTTTTCTGAATGTCATGTACAAAAAAATAGCATGCATATATCCAACATAGTAATGTACAGGTGTTATGAAAATTGAATAAACGTACTCGTGAACTACATCAAACAAAATAAAATTTACGTTCTCATCCGCATTTGTAAATAAACTAGTATTATTGTAAAAATAGCTTTATTCGGGACGTGTGCCTATTATTAGAAGGGGATTCCTTATGAATTCGGAATATTCCAAAATAAAAGGTAAGTCGTTATAGTGCTAAAAGGGATTTCCCTTTCAATATTTTAAGTTTGAAATACAATGTCAGCTCAAATACTTATAATTATTACATACACAAAATTATGAAGTATGAAAGATACCAAGTAGTTTGATATTGTTGTTAATAATTTAATTGGAACGGTTTTTTCTTACCTTTTATACCCAAACGTGCGATATGGACTCTTCCGGGCAGAAGGTCGTGATTTCGTGACGTCATACATCTAGAAAATGGCGGTTCAATTCGCCAGCTTCGTGTAAAGATTGAAATATTTCTCATCAGTTTCGCTTATGTATCAATGGATCTTTTAATTCAGAAGTATGGCGGAACCCAGAAGATTACAATTTACCACTTTGGATAATGACAAAGAAAGTACAAACTCAGAAAAGCCCGTGTGTACGGCACGTTTCGTGCTATCTCTCAAAGAATCCACCGACGAAACATGCTCGGAGTTTTCTTACACAGAATTACTGAAAAAGCAATCGGTAAGTTATCAAAATGTTTAAAAACCAATGGAAAACATACTTTCATTTGTTTTCAACCCAGTAATATTAATTAAAGTACTTTGCTGCTGTTTAACGCAATGTTTAATGTAGTTTTATTTTCGGGGATTCCTACTAGAAAACGGTTTGTTTTCCATCACCCCTTCCTCTTAGTCAATGTAAAAGCTCAGAAAATGGCTGAACTACGTCAGTCTAATGTTCTCAATTGCCTACAATATAGCCAGACCTTGCCTGTACGCCATTTTGAACATTTGTGCCCTGAAATCGTCTTTCATTACATTTTCCTAACCCTTAGCCGTCACCCGCCCGGTGTCTTTCAACCCGACATGTCGGATTGTTGTTATCAAGCTTGGTTTCGCTGAATGCAAAAGTTGGGTTTCGTATGATTTTCGTGTTAAAATGCACTGATGTTATAGTATGGATGAACAGTTATTTCCTGGCCATATTGGTTTATCTACTCGTGTTTGCTTCGTCTTCCATGTTAGATGCTAACGTGACACATTTATTTATATCTCGATCCTGCACATATTCCCCTCGGCCAGAAACAGAGCTGTGTTCCGATTGGTTGGTACTCCCAATGAACATTTTCCATAGATTTATAGAAGTTTTGGAGAAGGGTGCTTATATTTGCAAACACTAAGACTATAATAGAACACATTCTGAATGACCTTTGTAATTGTATTTACCCCTGATATGTTTATATTGATTGAAATAGTTGCATTTTCTCTTTTACATGGGGAAAGTTTGTGACGTCGACTGTATTTATGGGATATGTTGTTGACATGCCTATGCTAGGTTAACAAGCATGAAATCTTCGATGGGGAAAATTTGGGTTGTGGTGGAGGAGACATAGAACGAAATCTAACAAAATTATATAGAAGTAAAAACCACGTGAAATGCGATTAATAATTGACCTATGACGTCATCCAGGTAAGTAGGACGTTGATTATCGGAGATTGTGAAGTTTAATCAGACCATAGTTGAACCACTATGTAAAGTAAGCGGAATCATTTAGTTGATGTTGTAAAGGTATTTTTATGTTGTATTTGGAAAAGATGACTTTGTAAAATATATTTGAGAGCGCGTGCGCAATCTGTTCCGGATCGGAAAGTGGGTCAACACTGATAAAGGTGATGTGTGTATTGATACACGACAAGGGTCCGCGACAGCAGACGAAAACGTGCAGCGTTGTCGCTTTTGTCGGATTCTGCACGTAGGTAGATATTTAGGGAGTAATTAAATTATCGAATATTGATTAACTTTTATGCAGTCACTGTACGGGATAATATGACTGGCGAATAGAGGGGCTATCAGTGGAGTGGTGTATGGAGTGTAACGTGTATTAGCTGGGGGTGGCGCCGTGTTTACAGCGGTAGGGTCGTCAGTCAGCCGTTCACATCAGTGCGACTTCAACGGGGGCGGGCTTTTGTTCTCGCCGCTACACCCGGTCCCGGGGGTGAGCGGTCTCACGTGTGTGCGCGCGGCAGCGTGCGCGTACGTTCACGTGCATGAATGCGCGTACGTACACGTATTTTTTTTAGAAATCTGTTTTTGTGTGCGTGTTTGTAGTGTTAGTGCTAATAGAAAAGAAGTACTTTTCTGATGAAGCTTTTACGTATTGTTCCTTCTTTGCTTTACGTAATGAAAAGAGTTGTAGTTAGGCCTAATATTTCGAGAAGGGGAAATGAGTGTTTGACTTCAGGAATTTGTAATAAATGGTTCTACTAACTGCAAGCATAAAAATAAAATAAAATAAATAAGTTGGTTGAAACGTTAGATGATCCACACATTATGTAAAGGGGGGGGGGGGGGGGGGGGGGGGTCATTAAAGAAATAAATTTATGACCAAAACTTAATGTAACGTTACAAATTACAAAAATTCATTCATGAAGTTATAGCCTATAATGGTCAATGTAGGCAAAGTAATGCGACAAATTGCTAACAAATTCCAAAGATCATTTTGCATTTTGAAATGTTGAGAGCCTAGGAAAGATTTGTTCGTTTGAAGTGAAGAAATCGTAAAATGCAAGTTAAAAACTAATTTGTGACATCATTTTTCTTTATTTTTATTTTTTTTATTTTTTTTACAATATCTTTTGTGAGCGCATCAATATAATTCTTCCCTTGATAAAACCATTATTGAACACATCTTTTGAATTTTATATGATTGTAATGTTTGGTGATCCATTTCAGGTACTTTGAGTTTCACCTAGGATTAATAGATAATGTCCGAGGAAAGGTGAGGGGTGATTGGAAATCATCAGAAAGTCAATATCACAAAGATGAGGAGATAGGTGTTTGACTTTTCTGATTATATTTATTTTACTTTCTTTTTATACATTTACCATATTCTAACAGATTTAAAATTAAAAATTAAATACAAACATATTGATTAGGTTCGAGACCTCCATGGGGCAGTCGCCAGGTACTTGGAACTCTAGATCTGGCTTTCCTATAACCACCAAAACCTGGCACATCCTAAATGACCATAGCTGTTAATAGGACGTGAAACACAAACAAACCAAACCACTCCACTGATTGAAATCCAGTTCATTTAAATACCCTGCACAGATGTACTCAAACTTTTCACAGAGTTGGCTATCCTTCTCACCCACACTTCCTGTGCATTCCTGTTTTTGCTAGAGAACAGATAAACTTGTTTTCACCTACCTAAGGAAAGACATAGACCTCATACACGCTTTCATTCGGGGACATCACTTAGGTGTCATCAATTTATGTGCAGTGTACGTAATCGAGGTTGTGTCATCAATTTTGTTACACATATCACATGCATGTGCATCCACCATTAGAAGGACGAATCATTTTTGTGAGAGGATTTTTTTTTGGAGAGAAATATTCAATCATTCTTGTGTGATGCAGACAGCGGAATTTCGACACTCAGGATAAGAATCTTGTAGTTTAGCTCTCAACAAAGCCTTGTGCTAAACTTAAAAAATTATCATTGAGTTGGGATTTCTACATCACAGAGGAGTGATAGATTCTATTATGTCTCGCACTTGACTGGTGTATCCACATTTTTCTGGTGTCCATCAGGGTTTTCCAGTCAAAAAATTGCATGTCTAAACAGTTCACGTCAGCAGTGTATTGTAATCGCATCAACAATACTTTGGCCACGAAAAAAATCATTCACCCACTAACTCGGGGTGAGATGAGGGGGATCTCAACCCTCTGAGTAAGTTGCCAAACACAATTAGCAAGCATAATGTTTGGCAACTTAAGAATCTCAGCTATTGGACTATGTACATGTATTAGCATTTGAATGTCTTTAATTTTACCTGAACAACTTCAATAAATTTGCAAGACCCATATACTCAATACCAAGCAAGGACAAACTAAAATTTTGGCACTTCCTTAGAAAAGATAGTCGGAAGATCTAGAGATAGTCACCGGAGAAGATCTCAAAACCAGAAAGAAAAAGAAAAAAATAGTCTCAATTTAAAGCTTTTAAACTTGCACTGTCAGCTTTAATTTAGCATTAACAACAAATCTAACTGGTATTTTTCAACGAAAAGCTGGTACTAGGGTAATGATGAGTGTTGTGGGCCAAGCTGCAGGTACTAGGGTAATGATGAGTGTTGTGGGTCAAGCTGCAGGTACTAGGGTAATTATAAGGATGAGTGTTGTGGGCCAAGCTGCAGGTACTAAGGTAAGGATGAGTGTTGTGGGCCAAGCTGCAAGTACTAAGGTAAGGATGAGTGTTGTGGGCCAAGCTGCAGGTACTAGGGTAATTATAAGGATGAGTGTTGTGGGCCAAGCTGCAGGTACTAGGGTAAGGATGAGTGTTGTGGGCCAAGCTGCAGGTACTAGGGTAAGAATGAGCTTTGTGGGCCAAGCTGGTACTGGGATAAGGGTGAGTGTTGTACATGTGGGCATATTGCATTGCTGCGCATCTAAATTATATTAATGAATGTTAGCGGTCACTTTAAAAATGAACCATACAAAGAATATAATACATAACACTTGAATTATTTTCTTTGTATGGTTCAACAGCTTTAATTATAAACATGCAGACTGTTAGATAAATATGAGTTATAAAATACACCACACGTGGTATATATGACCTTCCAGAGTTTTGATTGGTTGCAATTGTGAAACCAAAACATGATCTGTCACAGTGTCAGAAAAGATTTTGTTCTCCCAACGTCCCTTTATCGCTATTTGGAAGGTCTGACTATGGCTGAACTTTCATTATAAACGTCAACGATAGAACCGTCACGAAAAACCGTCCCAGGCCTATGGTTTTGGACATTGACAGCGATTAGTTCATCTTCATCACTTGGTGGAAGGCAGTCTTCGTACGATATGCTTACGCGCATATAGTCTGCGGGCAATACTGCATACTCTCAATACTTAAAGACGTTCATCTATTAATTTTTTTCACAAAGTTGTTGCCAAAACATTTATTTTGACAATTATTAAATTTGTAAAAACAAAAAGTCATTTTTGAATATTAATGAGTGACTTTTTACATATGAGTATAATATCACTACGCCAGCCTTGTCAACAAACACATGTGTGTATGTTATTCAAATCAGGTCACACTCCAGCTGTTTCTGACTGAGGTTGTGGTAGAAACAGATCACACGACTCACTCGTGGTTGTTGAGTATAGTATATATTTCACTCTCGTTAGTTAACTTTCAAAAGTTACAGAAAGACACTCGCTATTTAAAGCTAGTGTCCTTTTGCAACTTTTGAAAATTAACTAACGAGAGTGAAATAAATACCATACTCAACAACCACTCGTGTAACCTTTATATATATCTGGCTAGCTTATCCTATATACACATGTCTAGTTACGGGAGAGAGAATCGATGTACCCTCACACCTGCTGCAGTCAGCCACCAGGGGTGTTAACAGTGCTGCATTATTTATGATAATTTCTTGCTTTGTTGCACATTTATACAATGTACGGGTCCATGATCATCCTAACTCTATAAAAATACACCTGTAGGATCTGACTTATATTGTATGTGTATATATGATGCGGCTGCCAAATAAAACTGTGGTTGTGTATATATATATTTTATGTACCCATCTCCTGGCATTATAATAACCATCCTGGGGCCCCTTGGCTATATATTTATAATCTGACTAAAACAATTTATTCACTGGGGTGAAAGGAAGAAAAAAAGCTTCAACCATTTTTTTTTAAGGACGGTGTACATAGGTGCTGGTCTAGATAAATTAAGGTACATGTATACATATTTTACGATTGATGAAGGGATCTAGATATTCTTTGATAGATTTAAAAGTGTGTTTTTAATTTTTTTGATATATATCATAATGTAGAGAAAATATATATATATACCAGTAGTACAATGGGAGAAGAGGTGATTTCTATCATCTGGAAAAAAGGTACAATAAAAAATGAAATGTTTTAAATACCTATACCCTATTGTCCCAGAGCTGCAAAACTCTGTAGGGAAAAGGTCGAAATTTCATATTTTATGATATCGATTGGTTCAATGTAAATGTTAATCTGTATATGCTCCATATATATATATATATGTGTGACCTGATTGAGTTAGACAGTGTTTGTTTTGACAACACATAAGAAATTAAGGCCATCCTTAAAAATAAAAAAATTGTAGTTCCCCTTCTCAGCTTTTTTTCAGTCACAGTGGGTAGGTATGAGGTAGGAGTTTTATTGATTTTAGAAATCTTATTTTTTTAATGATAAAACACTAAGTGCCAGTTATTTTTTCAACAAGAAAGTTTTTTTTAGTTTTTTCCTCAAATGTTGAAAAAAACAAAGTTTTTGTTGGTGCCTTTTTTTAGTAAGTCTGTTGGTTAACTGCAACCAAGCAATTGTTTAATGATGACATTGACACCATTTCAGGGAAGGGGGGGGGGGGGAATGACATGGCCTGGTTCATTATATTGCAATACATATTTCAATAGCAGGTTCATTTCTGTATCTAAATGTATTGTGATATCAATTATGTTGACTGCACACTTTGGATTTTCAAACCAACATTGCAGTTATTCATCAGGTGAAGGCTTCTTCAGAAGTTTCCATTTTTTGTAGCTGTTCCTTTGTACTACTTCTTCCTCATTATATATATTAGATCCCTTTATAATGTCAGGAATTCGTTGGATAAATGTTAGGAGTACAAGTATAACGAGATTTAAATGTATTAAATCATGGGTTTAATCTGTAACTTATTCTTCCACAGAAGGTCAAGAATGGAGTGCGTATACGTAAAGAGAACAAGTCACCGAGTGAAGAGGATGGAGACCAGGAGAAGAATGACTTGTCAGGACCATTTGGGGATGAAGACGATCCCGACGAGGTGGCGGCCATTGCTAGACTGTTTGAGGAGAAATATGTACGCGTTTTATATCTAGCAACTCAACTGTATCAGTATAGATCTGTACTACTGTTATAAAAGACTATATTGAGGAAGTTATATGTACAGTGTTGAACATTTGATACTGACTTTAACTCATTCACCCCTGAAGACACATTTGAACTCTTCCAATGCAAAGGTTGGAATAGTTCATAAGGAAGTTTCGGGGGTGAATGAGTTAAATATAATATGGTGTCATCACTTTGTCACATTTTGATCAGAAACCATTTTGCAGTAGTATCTTTAATTTATCCATGATCAAACAGGAAGCTTTATATTTTGGCTTTATTTGTTCCATATATAGATCAATAATGTTGATTTTGAATCTGTTGTGAATATTTTAAGAATGAGAGCGTGCTGGGTACAAGTTTTCTGTCTGCTGTGTTTACAGGGTCCCAAGCCAGGAGAGAAAAAGAAGAAGAAGCCGATGATGGAGGTTATTGACCTTGGAGAAGGATACGATGAAAACGATCCTTTTATCGACAACTCTGAGGCTGTAAGACTTATAGACTAGGCCAGCTCATTGAGTCATTCTGTAATGTGTCATAGTGTTATAGGTAAAAGTAGTAAACGTCCATCAATTGTGACTAAACATCTTTTGATTAATTAGTCCTTGCAGTAAAACAGATGCCGCTGAAATTCTGACGACTTTTCTTTTCATCTTATTGTATATTATACCAATATGGAAATAACTTTTGACGATATCTCATTTATTAAACTCAACAGCACCTTGTGGGCTGCCATTGAACATCCTATGATTTTCCATGCAATGTCGTAAATTCAGGTATTGTTGTGTTCATGGCCACCAACATGAGAGAACGCTTTTTTACTCCTTAGAATGGCTTGGTCATTTTACTTCTATTTTTGCCAATGAAGGTTAACTAGGACAGAAACATAATCTTTTGTGTATATATATGCACATTGAAGACGGAACAAAGCATCAGATATCAGTAAAGTTTATAACCTGAGGGTGGTATTTTCATATGTTCGACACACATATGAAGGTATCTAATAAAAGTAAATATTTCCCTTGGACAGGATATATAATTTGTCAGATTTGGGAGAACAAGTCTGTGTTTTTCTACCTTAAATTTACAACAGCCTGTTTATGCATGAAGTGGGGAATATACAGCATTATTTTTCTTGTTGAATTTGGGAAGATATACCTCATTTTTCCCTTGTTTTAGAAAAATAAACCATTTTCTCACAAGAGGAACCAGCCTGTTTTGACTTTTCAGCTGTAAAAACTAGCCAAAAAAAAAACCACTTCAAGTTAACTAGAATAGCACACTTAAGTCCAAATTATTTAGCAAAGAGCATTGATTACCCTGATTGTGATTCGAGTATTACATCTGATGTTAATATAAAGTAATCTGTGTCAATTCCAATGGAAGGGGGAGAAAATAAGACCTAATGTTGATAGAAATATTAGACCTTGGTAGAAATATTAACTCACATTTGTTTTCTCCACCTATTCCCTCTTTGCGTATTGCAGAGTTATCTTTTCTTTGGAGCAGGTATTGATTGTTACGTCACTGGTTGGAGAGAGTAACGTCATCAATTTTTGAGAAAACGACGTAATTTCCTCTGACAAGCCAATGACGTACCAATCAATACCTGCTCCCAAGAAAAGATAACTCTGCAATACGCAAAGACGGAATATCTGTAGTAGTTTGATTAACAGTTTTACTTTTCACTCGCGTTTTTCTCTACCTATATCTGTAGTAGGTTGATTAAACAGGTTTACTTTTCACTCACGTTTTTCTCCTCCTATATCTGTAGTAGGTTGATTAACAGGGTTACTTTTCACTCACGTTTTTCTCCACCTAGATCGGTAGTAGGTTGATTAACAGGGTTACTTTTCACTCGCGTTTTTCTCCCCCTATATCTGTAGTAGGTTGATTAAACAGGTTTACTTTTCACTCACGTTTTTCTCCCCCTATAACTGTAGTAGGTTGATTAACAGGGTTACTTTTCACTCGCGTTTTTCTCCTCCTATATCTGTAGTAGGTTGATTAACAGGGTTACTTTTCACTCACGTTTTTCTCCCCCTATAACTGTAGTAGGTTGATTAACAGGGTTACTTTTCACTCACGTTTTTCTCCTCCTATATCTGTAGTAGGTTGATTAACAGGTTTACTTTCCACTCGCGTTTTTCTCCACCTATATATGTAGTAGGTTGATTAACAGGTTTACTCTTCACTCGCGTTTTTCTCCACCTATCTCTGTAGTAGGTTGATTAACAGGCTTACTTTTCACTCGCGTTTTTCTCCACCTATACCTGTAGTAGGTTGATTAACAGGTTTACCTTTCACTCGCGTTTTTCTCCACCTATCTCTGTAGTAGGTTGATTAACAGGCTTACTTTTCACTAACATTTTTCTCCACCTATATCTGTAGTAGTTTGATTAACAGGGTTACTTTTCACCCGCGTTTTTCTCCACCTATATCTGTCGTAGGTTGATTAACAGGTTTACTTTTTTCTCTCATTTTTCTCCACCTATATCTGTAGTAGTTTGATTAACAGTTTTACTTTTCACTCGCGTTTTTCTCTACCTATATCTGTAGTAGGTTGATTATCAGGTTTACTTTTCACTCACGTTTTCTCCACCTATATCTGTAGTAGTTTGATTAACAGGGTTACTTTTCACTCGCGTTTTTCTCCAACTATATCTGTAGTAGGTTGATTAACAGGTTTACCTTTCACTCGCGTTTTTCTCCACCTATACCTGTAGTAGGTTGATTAACAGGTTTGCTTTTCACTCACGTTTTTCTCCACCTATATTTGTAGTAGGTTGATTAACAGGTTTACTCTTCACTCGCGTTTTTCTCCACCTATTTCTGTAGTAGTTTGATTAACAGGGTTACTTTTCACTCGCGTTTTTCTCCAACTATATCTGTAGTAGGTTGATTAACAGGTTTTCTTTTCACTCGCGTTTTTCTCCACCTATATCTGTAGTAGTTTGATTAACAGGTTTACTTTTTTACTTGCAGTACGACGAGTTAGTGCCTTCTACGTTGACCACTCGTCTCGGTGGATTCTACATTAATTCCGGAAAGCTGGAATTCCGGGAACTCTCCGACGACTCTATGGATGCTTTTCAAAGGTCGAATCCACTCAAGAAGAAGAGGAAGAAGCAGGTAGACTGACCAGAGATCATGTTTTATATCAAAGTCAAACGTTCACTGACAAAGAAAGTTTATCATTAAGTTTAGCAGGTCATACTTCAAATTTCAGCACCAGTATATCATATTTGTATTGAGACGTCACATTTCTCTTCTTTTTTTTTTATAATAAAAATGAACAGCTTATGCAAGGGTTTCATTTAATGTTCCTTTTGAAAATTATAAAAAAAAAAAAAAAAATGTTATTCAACAGAATTCATCCTTGGTACTGTAATGGCCCAATCTTGTCTTTTATTAATTGTGATTTTATTTGTGTATTGACAGGTGATTGCCTCAGATTCTGATTCGGACAAGGAAGTGAAGCCAATTGAAAGCAACAAAGTTGTAGTCAAAGTAAAGGTAAGAAATTTATTAATGAATTTTAGACAAAGCCTACTGTCCAGTTGCTACTGGACTTTTTGGCGAAACTTTCATCAAAATATTCAAATTAAGGATATCGCCTGACCTGTCTTTTAAATCTCAATGTGTTTGGTAACTTTCTGCATTTCTTTATGTAGAAGTAAACATTCTGGATTAATGAGTTAAATGTTTTAACCTGTTGAACATATTGGACTTTCTGTGGTAAGAAATAAGTTGGAAAATTGGATTTTTTTATCATTCATCAATAAGCCAATAATGCTTCAGAAGCGGAAGATAAAAGATGGTGTGGAGGGTGAAGAAAAGAAAAGGAAGAAGAAGAAGCTGATGAATGGAGAAGGTGGAGAAAAGTCATTCAAGAAACCTAAAAAACCAGAAGAAAGGGAGAAACTCAAAAAGTATGAAGCTATAGATAATTTGTTTTTATGTTTGATGATGTCGGAGTACTTGTTAAAAAGATTTTAATAATATCTGGAAAAAAGTGGGTTTTTTTATAGATAATAAAGTGTGGTATATATCTGATATATGCTATAAAAGACATTATCAGTATTTTATCTTTAATTTTATGATTTCTAAATGTGAAGCATGTATTATTTTGTTAAAAATACATTGCTATGTAAATTGTCCATTGAGGTTGGGAGACAGTGGCATCAACAGCATCTAAAATTTGCAACATAATGAGATTTTGAATATAAATTGGAGGCATAGATTTGTATTCTACACTTCTATCATGTCATGGAATCATATCTAGCCTGGATCTTTTAAATGGTAAATAAAAACCAGTTTATCTTATGAAGAGCATTTGAAAAAAAGTTTAGAATGTATGTAAAGATTTGGTAACGGACAGTGTGACCAGATTTTAATAGAACGCTTCGTTCACTTTGCACAGAATATCACTACTAGATATACAGTTCTTATTATGTAGTGTGACCAACTTAACCTTGAAAATGAAGCTTTAACAAAAACATTTACTGTGTAAAATTTCTATTTTTAGATGATATTTTACTCATATTGTTTGAATCACAGGAAGAAATTCTCTCCAACTGTTGGCGAACTGCTGAAGCAACAGACCGAGTCGACCGCTACACCTACCTCCGTCTTTAACGATCTCAACTCTGACAGTCAGGAAAGTAACGATTCTTCCCAGGATGGGAAATCCGATAAAATGTGCGTGTCCGTGGATAGCGTGCCTACCAACTCCAAGGAGGATTCCAACAGCAGGGAGGCTGGGGAAACCAAGGCTGTCGATCCTACACAAATCCCTAAACTACCCTCCGGAATTCCACAGCACCTCTCGGACACTATTGAAAAGTTAAAAGAGGTAAATGTTGTATGTTGTGGAACACATTCCATCAATGATCCACTGACCTTACCCACTGATATCCATATTCACCTATCACGCATTTAATTTCACCATTGTCATACTATCAGATGTGTATCATAGCATATGTCCTGGGCCTGTATTCATGAAACCATTCTCATGCTCAAGCATAGATTCTGTGCTCAACCCAATTTTCTTGCAACTTGCACAAGTCACGAGAAACGTTAAAATTGTTATTTGTAACATTTGAAACGGTATTCAGCTTGAGGTCTCAACAAAATTCTTTCAAATCATTAACCAAATATTAAGTATGAATTTATTTATCACCGGAACAAGAAATTGTGCTTGAGCACGGAATCAGAGTTTGAGCATGAGAATGGTTTCAAGAATATGGGTCCAGTTTTGTTTTATCTGGATGAATAATTTTTCAGACCAAAAAGTATGAATGTGTATTTGTTATAACGGAATATAAGTTCTTTTTATTTTATTTTATTTCTTCTAGAGTCGCTATTCAAAGCAGAATAAAAGTTTTTGTAAAAGGATGTTGCAATACAAAATGATTTGGTAAACCACCTACTCTAAATTCAGAGACAATAAAAACCAATTGATATTTTGATTGACCATATTCAAAAAGCATTTTATACAATACGTTTTCTTCTACAAATCATATTGTTGTATATTGTTTATATTTACTAACGGCATGTATATCTCCTATTGAACTGTTCTGCTGAAGTTACTGTTTAAGATCTATTCGAAATTTGCCAATATTTCTCTTGTATTTTTGCAAAACAATTATTTGACATATGGCTCAGAAAAATGGAAGATTTACAGTTTTCATATATCACATTTTCATTTTACCATAATTTCATTTATGGGCTATGAACCATGTTTTGTGTTGATTGGTGTGTATTAATCGACTTAACTTGACGTTAATCACTAAAGCCCTATTCCAATTACATGAATTTATTAATGCTGAAACTGAAAGAAAAGCTGTACCAAAATATACCTAATTCATTGAGCTTCACCCATCTTTGTGTCCTATTTATTTAACACTTACATTTCATTGTAAATCACATCGTATTACTTGGCACATTGTTAACCAAATACATATGTAAAAGAAAGTTTTATATTTCATTTAACTATTCACATGCAAACTTATGCAGTTTCAGGTAATATAATAAACTGAAATGATATTCCAGTGTCAACTGTAAACATGTTTCACTTGGATATATGTAATTTTGTTACCATATTTTCGTCTTTACAAGCCACTGAATATCCTCCTTGAATGTAAACCTTAGTGTACATAAATGAGAAGTGGTGATATTAGCGCAAAATTTATTTTTAGAAAACTGATGTTTAATCTTATTTCTGAGAAATTGGGATCATATTTGGATTTAACTCATTCACCCCTGAAAATACATAATGAACTATTCCAACTTTTGAATTGGAAGAGTTCAATTGTGTCTTCAGGGGTGAATGAGTTAATATTCAGGTCAGATCTTGGTCCCAATTTGTGTGAAGGAAAAAAATGGTTCAGTCAATAACAACTTGTATTTGTTGATGTTTAGGCTGCTAAACACTCACAGGACGGCAAGTGTAAATTCTTCTCCAACGAAGTCAACTCCATGTTATTGAAGTGAGTACGATGGTTTATTCTGTAGTCTAACCACTAATACCAATATTTACTACAGTGTACTCGGCGTTGAATGTATAGATTTTGAATTAATGAAGAGTGGTTGTACAATATGATCTAAATGAGTTTATTTTTCTAGCAGTTTCAAACTGTATATTGTATATTCTTGGCATCAGGCCCAATTTCATCAATATTCTTAACTTGAATAGCATTCATAAATTAAAACATTCTTCTCAAATTTTCAAATATATTATTGTTTTCTTGTAAAAGTGGGGCCAAGTCATACAGATGTATGTTTACCAGGAGTATAACATGATTTAAGATTACAATATTCTGTTCTATCAAACTGCTCTAGATCTGGAGTTGTCGTAAATAGTTACTGGGTAAAATTTGTCTTTTGTACTGTAGTCAAACTTTGTCAAAGTGAACTTTGATATTTGGTTTCTGTAGTAATTTCTAAATTAAACTTGATTCCAATGGCAGCTTATTACTTGGTTTGAAATGTCCCTAATCTCCTGATCTTTATGAGTCATAATTTCTTTAATAGATTTTCACACTTAGCAAGTGCGGGTGCATATAACTGAATTATTGAACAATTACAGTTAACAAAAAATTGTTACTTAAATTGTTAATGTAATTGTTAGTTTGTTTGATATCATGCTTATTAAGTCTGGTTTACACACTTGGTTAAAACTAAAGTTTTTGTTATGATGATTAAGCTGTTAATTGAAATATTCTCTCTGAGTGGTTCGTTATACAATTATTGCACTCTCGAGCATGTTGTAGATTTTTCCAAAGGGCAAACAATCTATACCAAATAGGTAATTGTCTCCCCTGTAACAATGTGAGAAATGACACATATATGTAAATTACAAGTGACTTTAAGTGTTATCTCTTGCAATTGTCTGGTGGGGGGAATCTACCCGTCTGACCTATTTAATAAAATACCATATAAGAAACCCGATGTTTTGTGCATTCACTTCAATACAGATAAGAACCTTCATAGATTTACAAAGATACGTGTTAAGTACTTTTTTAAGAATATTTTTCTGTATTTCTAATTTACAAAATATGACCAATTACCAATAGGAATAATAGATAGTCTTTGAGAATATGAATGCACTGAAGTTTGGCTTGCTGTACTGCTTGCGAGTGAAACTGATTTCCTATAGGTAAATCGTAATGTGATTTTGTTGGCTGGAAAAAATGTTTTCATCGTAATGTCACGTTCTACCCAGAGTGGAGTTACATTGTCGACAACTACCATGTGGTCACCGTACAACCATCTACGCTCATCTAGCCTCGTTCCTGCCTTGTGGGAAAGAGACTCTCCAGAAACGTGCCAAGAAGTTACGCATCAATCAACAGGATGACGTGGTTAGGGAACCCCTTCAGAAACTCAGGGATGGTACGATCCACTTTTAATTTATCAGTAATACGGTCATACCAGGCATTTAATAAGCAAAGTTCTAACTTTTCATTAGAAACACTAAATATGTTGTTCTTCTAATTAACCATTTCTGTTTCACGGTTTGCACCACAGAATACCAAAATTGTTCGGAATTTAAAATCTGTCTTTGCCTAATTTCAAAATGTTTATTTATAGATAAGGAAATTTATAAAACATGTAAAATTAGCTGCAAATTTTATACACCAGCACCTAAATTCCACATTAAAAAAAATGCCACCAAGTGATTTTGACACAAAATTAAGTTTTTATTTTAAGTTTCCCATTCCCAGTTTTCAGAATATTATCCCTTTCACCACTGTAAGCCATAATGGGCTCATCCATATCAATGCATGGTAGAGTCTACTAAAGTTACATAGTGATGAAAAGGTTAACAAGCAAAGTAAATTCCACACAGAGACATATCTTTTGCTTAATATATTGTTTTACAGTATCTTGATGAAACTTTTTAGTGTGTTATGATTATGGTGTTCTATTTGTCTAGCTGTCAATGCTGTGATGCCTTCTATACAGGAGAAACACGATGCAGAGTACCAAAAGTGGAGTCTGCAAAAGTATGCTTCAACGGTTGCCAGCTTTGTTGTTGTTTGTATATATATAGTACTGATCAATAAGTATTAACTCATTCACCCCTGAAATTTCATAATGAACTATACCAACTTTTGAATTGGAAGAGTTCAAATGTGTCATCAGGGGTGAATGAGTTAATGAAATAAGTGTCATTTAATACAGCAAGTTCTAAGGTTTTAATTTATAAACATTTGTCTTGTTAATCATTAAATTCACAGAAGAAAGTGATCATACCATGGACCCTTTACACACAAGTTGTTGGGTAGATACTCTCCATTAACTCATTCACCCCTGAAATTTCATAATAAACTATTCCAACCATTGAATTGGAAGAGTTCAAACTTGTCTTCAGGGGTGAATGAGTTAAGGAGCCCCACATTGGTCATTCCATACATTCTTATAGGGGATGGGTCCATGATGAAAAGTGAAGACATGGTTCACATTTTAAGGCTCTTTCAAGTCCAGGGGTGTAGGATAGGGAAATTCCACCCCGAGGGGTTAAAATTTTGCCAAATTTGAAAATCCTGAGGGTGGAATTTCCCTATCCTACACCTTTGAGTATGAAAGAGTATTTTTCTCTCATTCTCTCTACCAGAATAAGCTCAGAAACCATGAAAATGTGTTTGGACTGGCTACCATTTTGAAAATATTAACTTTTCCCCTGAGCTTTTTTGACAAAAACGAATCTGTCAGTGAGATTAAGCGTACCATATATTTGCAAACAAAGTTTGTGCAGAAAAATTAATCTCATCTTTCTTTTGTGTATGGTGAATATATCGCAAAAGGTTTTAATTTCATTACGTCGCCTCTTCCACATTGGGGCATCAGAATTTGTGGCGTTACGTCATTGTTGAGTCATTGTGACGTCACGTCACGTGAAATGGGGTGTAAGATAGAAATTTATTACACCCCTTTCTTATCCTGGACAGCTCTATCTTACACGCACGGAAATGAGAGAAATTACAGTTATTACATTTCTGCAATGGTTTTCATTTATCTGACACATGGTTGTCTGATATTAACCAGTGAATTTACTACTCGTATTTTGCATTTGATTAATGCAAAAAGAACTTTTGTTTAGTCATACAATGACAATGAAATGACGTCGCAGACTTCTGATTTTATATCGACTTTGAAGTGTAGACAGTAATTACAGAGCTAAGATGGTAGAGCTTCAGACCTTAAGAAGAACATTTTTTATCATTCCTGAGAAAGTGATTTAACTCTCCTCAAAATTCAAGAATATTTTTTATCTCAATAAGGAAAGAGGCAGAAGCTGCGGAGGGAAACAAAGAAGGGGAAAAGGATAAAGAAAAGGAAGAAAAAGAGAAAAATAACAGTGATGACAGTGATGAGGAGAAAGGACCAGAGGCGACTGGAGGAAAGAAACGAGTGAATGGCCCACGGAAAAAGTTTGAATGGACAGAGAACTTACGGTAAGTGAGGTTTCATAGACTAGATATAACTTTTCGTTCTTTTGTCTTGCACAATCTTGTTTATAAACACTTTGTACGAGTACTAGACATAACAGGAACAGATAACGTAGATCAAGAACATTTGTAGGTATATAATAAATAGAGGATCTGTCATAAGTTTCCCTTCATATTAGATTTATTATATTAGTTTTGGATTTTTCATATGTTTGCGAGCCTCTGGCTCCAAAACGATTATCGTAAATCTAACATGAAGGGAAACGAATGACAGATTCTTTTTATCATATAATACAAAGTTATGGACAGATTTTTTTTATCATATAATACAAAGTAAACTGTATTATTGTGATCTGAAACGAATATTTTGCACTTGGCCGCCTCTGAAACGATGAAAATTGCGTCCGCTTCACAATGACATGACGTCACATCGATTGTTCCTTTTCGCTTGTGATGTCATTTCCGGAATGATATTACACACTTTACATAAACATAATTTATGTGATGGCTTTATGACGCTGCATAACATGGTATTCATATGATAAAACCTTTTATGTAACAACAAATCTGTGCCATTGCTAATGCCTGATGTAAAGACACATGTGCTATATCTTAAATTTCCAATAGTTCAAAACAAAAACAAAAAAAGTCAAATGAACTCATTCAACCCTGAAATTTCATAATGAACTTTTCCAACCTTTGAATTGGAGGAGTTTAAATGTGTCTTCGGGGGTGAATGAGTTAAGCGAGAATCCAACAATTAAGTGATTTTCAATCTGTAATTGTTTATCTTATGAATATCCTGTATGGTTTTTGTGAGTAACCTACAAAAACTGGAATATCCGGACTAACATTTCTATTGTCTGTCAGGGTGCTGTTGTGTGAGGTAGCGAGGTGTAAAATGAAGCTATGTGAATTAGCCAAGAACAAGACAGAAACCAACGAGGAATACCTAAAGTCATTCCTGGAGAACGAGGTCAAGCCGCTCTGGCCCAAAGGCTGGATGCAGACAAGGCAAGTTTATCATATATATATATATATATATATATAATAAAAAGGGATTAAATGTCCATGTGAAGGAAGTAAATATAGAAAAAATAAGATGAACGACCGACTAAAAAACTAGCTGCTTTCACCCTTCAAGTGAAGAGCCCTGTGAAGGGTGAAAGCAGCTAGTTTTTTAGTAGGTCGTTAATCTTATTTTTTCTATATATATATGGGGCAAAGAAGTAATTCCAACAGTGTGGACAAGTTTAGGTTGTCAATTTTTCGGAGCAATCCGCTCCTTTTTCAAGACACAGTGAAACAGAACAGTTACATGTACATATACATCATATTACAAGAAGATAGAATTGATATACTATAATTGAAAATATAGCTATTATATAAAACCAATAGTCCCCTCGGCTAAAGACAGCCGAAGGCAGCAATTAAGCTGAGAGCATCGCAGACAAGCAACACTGATGTAGAGGACCTATTCTTGCGCAAGATGCAGTCATATAAAGTGAGTCAACGAGAGATATCAAAAACGTGGAACTGTGCATTTGGAAATCTGGCCCGGTAAATGTGAAAAATCTCCAATCTGCTACGGAATGTCTCATTAGTCGCCTCTCAATACTGATGGATCTAAGTCACAGCAGGGGGTCCCACTTAGTCGCCTCTTTTGGTTTGCAGGAATAATGCATGTAATTATCAAATAAGTGAGTGCAGGAGAATCCAGTGTTATATGGGATTTTACCGTCTATATTACTTCTTTGACCCATATATATATATATATACTGTTCATTTCGGCAACACATTTGTACATGTACAACTGATGCTGCTATGTACCAGTATAAACCATTGAAGTTTTATCAGTAGAAAATGAAGTGTTTAACAGTAAAATGACTCCAAATGTTTCATGATATACAGTAAAGTTTTAGATTGTAGATTTTATGATAAATATCCCATGTGAAAATTGACTTTGTCCTAATTCAAGTGGAAAGTTACAATTAACCCTTTCACCCCGATGTAACTTTAGTAAACTCTACCATGCATTGATCTGGATGAGTCCATTATGGTCGACAGTGGTGAAAGGGTTAAGGTGTTGTAAAAATAATTTGAAAAAAATTCAAAGCATTAAGACTTGAAGTGGTACAGTACTTCAATATTTCATATATTACAACAATTATTTGGTAATTTCATAATTTAGAATATTTATGATTTACAAGTTTTAGCTTAATGTGAGTTGCATGTTTGTATTGATTGATGTGACATTCTCTTCCCACCAGGATGTTGTTTAAGGAGACCAGATCAGTACATTCAAGTTGGACTAATCCGTAAGTGTTACCTGTCTGAATACAATGGTATCCAAATCTGTAATCAGCTACCATGGCTTTAATACATCTATAAATAGGATAATCTATTTACAGTTCCGAAGAAAAAATATATATACTGTCTACTTCCTTCAAGATACATTCCGTGGCCAATATGGCCAAATCAACATGGAAAGCTAGCTGTTAACTACATGTAACTGTTTGATTACACATTTACACCAAAGTCTCTTACTCGGTTACAATTTATCAGTTGTGTTGTAGGGTCTTTAAGTGCATACCTGGAGATACATACCCAATTGTGTTGTAAGGGTTTTTTGTTGATATTTAAAGATACTCATTTTTGGAATCCTATAGGAATAATCTTTTGCAATGTTTTGTTTTGAAATAAAATCCCCAAAAATTGTTTGTTCGCATCTAAAGTCCCTTTAAGAATCACTGGTTAACTGCCAGCAAAACTCTGGAGAATTCCAATTTAGATTTTCATACCAACGTAGAATATTTTTTTACTATGTTTTGTTTTGGAAAAGAAAAAAATGTTTGTTCACATCTCAAGTCCCTTAAAGAATTACTGTTGCAGGCAAAACACCAGAGAATTCCACTTTAAATTTTCATACCTACATTAAATATTTGTTTTGGTAGTACTGGCGAGTGACTTAGCGAGGGTACCACCAGTGACTAGGTAGCACGGTTGATCTGAGCGACAGTATTCCGTCTTTGCGTATTGCAGAGTTATCTGCTCTTGTGAGCAAGTATTTATTGTTACGTCATTGGTTTGTGTGAGAAAATTACGTCGTTTTCTCAAAAATTGATGACGTTACTATCACAAACAAATTACATAACAATGAATACCTGCTCACCAGAGCAGATAACTCTGCAATACGCAGAGACGGAATAATGGCCAAGGTCAAGGGTTCAAATCCTGGTCTAACCCCATTGCATTTTCAAAAAAAGTTCCACAAGGTTTTCTTTTTTTTCAGTAATGATTTATGAAACCTAAAGGCATGCAGGAAAAACAAGTTTCCAATGTGTGGTTACAGGTTTTAGTAGTGGTATGGCGATCCTTGAGCTAATATAGTTTTCTGTATAGAAATAATGAAGGGATGTGATCATAATATAGACTACATTAATTGTTTAAGTTAATTCCAATTTTGAAAAATAATGTCCAATACATACCAAATTAAAAGCATAAATTTGAAATGTAAATTCTCAAGACTCCATACATGAAGAGAAATTAAATGCTAAACTCTAAACATTGATATCTTTATTTCTTCCTTTTCCACAGACAAAAACCCAAGAAGACTGTGATAATTACCAAATCCTTGCCCGGGTCAGTGCCCAACACTCCTTCAAACTCTCCGGCTACATCTAAACTGGGAACCTCTACTGGGAGTGGGGTATCCGATGCCACACCAAATCGACCCAGGGACGTTAGCTCAGTTTTGTTACCCAGTACCTCAACCTCTTCCAGTGTGTTGGACTTAAGCAGTGGAAGGACACTGAGTAATAACACAACACCCACACCAGCAGCTCCTGTACATAAGAAAACAGGCCTAATCACCTCAGGAACTCCTACTTCCACCCCTCCTTTGTTTGCAACTAGTCCGGGTCTTTCCTTGTTAGCCGATTCCGCTGCAAGCGCACGCTCTCTAGACATGCCTCCGGAACGATCTTGGGATCATGTTGTGTCAGACATTTTGAAGTCCTCCTTCATTCCTTCACCATCTTCAAGGGACACAGACAAGTCGGCCATATCCCCTGATCCTAAGGTCAAGGCCACTGGTGCAGGTCCGGGCCAAGATCAAGGAGATGGTGCAGGTGGAGCAGGATTTCTTGCTCAATTTCAAAAATATGCCAGTGAAGTGTTCGCTCAAAAACTCAAGGAGCCTGATACAGGCAATAAAAGTAGTTCTACATCACCGCAGAAACAGCATCATTTACAGCAGCAGCAACAACAGCGGGCAAATTTAACACAACAACAAAAACAGCTTGTTCAGAAAATACAGATGGCTGCCTCTCAGAGACAAGATAAGTCGTCCCCGTCACCAGCTCATCAGGGTCTGCAGTCGGCTTCAACCAAGTCTAACCCCAATCAATACTCCTTAACCCCCCAGCAGAAGGCTGCTGTGTCTGCCCACCCTTCACTCACCCCACAACAGAAGGCAGCTGTGTCTGCCCGTTCTTCACTCACCCCACAACAGAAGGCAGCCATGTCTGTTGCCACCTCCATAACCCCACAACAGAAAGCAGCCATGTCTGTTGCCACCTCCATAACCCCACAACAGAAAGCAGCCATGTCTGTTGCCACCTCCATAACCCCACAACAGAAGGCAGCCATGTCTGCTCATCCCTCACTCACCCCTCAACAGAAGGCAGCCCTGCAGTCTGCTGTATCTTCCCACTCCCAACAGACAAAGCCCCAGGGTATCACCTTGGGGCAGCAAACATCTGCCACAGTAGCTCTTCAGCGATCCCTCCTCAATGAAGAAGTGTATAGACAGTTAATAGAAGCAGACAGCAGCAAATTGTTATCTCAGGCCACTAAATCTCCATCTGCCAGTAGCACAACATTACCTAATTCCAGTGTGGCAGGTCACAAAAAAAGTAATGCCAAGGTCATACCAGTGACTGTATCATCCACAAAAAACGCACAGTCCAAGACTCTGACAAAAGTGATCAATGTAGGAGCCTCTAATGGGGGCCCACGCAAAGTTATCACAGTGCATTCAAAATCACCAGTCTCCTCTCAGGGTACTTCCAAACCTGTAACAACCATTCAGATATCTCCAACCTCTCAATCCTCGTCTCAAAGGTCACAGGCCAGAGGTCAAGGGTCAATCACCACAGGACAAGTCGGTGGACAACAAAATTATAGTAATTCGAGTTCTGGGCAGGGAAGCAATCTTCAGTCATCAAGTGATTTCCTACAGTCCTTATTTGGCCAAGCCAGGGAGCAGAGTACTATACACAGTCCTACTGGGCAGGTGTCGCGCACTTCTCCACAGCAACAGGTCAAGGTGTCCATGGCAACGGTGTCTCAAAAAAATAAACAGCAACCAGCACAGACAAGATCCCCCCAGTCCCCAAAGATCTGGAGCATGGGTTCTATTGTGTCAAATGTTGGTAGCCAACACAGTTCAGTGGCAAGCATTCCTGCCTACAGTCCAATAACCACCCTTCCTAAACCTGTCCCTGGCTACCAGAGTGTCGGACTGTCCGGTTTAACCAAAGACATGGGTGTCCAGCAAGCCTTGCGCCAGGATCCTTCATATCTAGGTAGGCAGCTTGAACGAGGGGTAGAAAATATCACCAATTAGGATAATAATTTTAATAATAATATTAATCATTTGTAGTTGATATGTATTATTTGTGAATGGTGTGGTATGTGTACAAATTAAAACCTGGTGACAGTAAAATGATACTAATCTTCAGGACATGTTATGGTTCTGCAAACATTTGTCTGTCATAGCTGTAAGACAGGATAGCAGTGAGATTATAATCATATTATAGAAGTCCATGAGATACAGGAATGGCAATGGAGAATGTATTTTAGAAGACGTTATAAGAGTGTAAACTTTGCTACAATGTTATGATGTATCTTCTAGCCGTTTTATCTCGTTCGAAGAGTGATGGTATATAAACCTCAGGAGATACAGTATTATACACTTTACATTTCAGCAGGTAGACATAACAGCTACTCAAATGTACCAACAAGCCCTCTGACTGGTCAACAGCAGAACCCTTTAGCCAATCAGAATCCTCCACACCAGTCCACAGGTGAGTAATTACCAGGACATATATATAGATCTATACTCAAAGATTAATATGCACTTCTAGATAACACCAAGCACTTTTTAACATTAAAAAAAAAGTAATAAGACTGGAACTAAATCATGTCAAGTCGCTCTCAACATCACGAGTCTGATTCACTGAGGGGTTTCTTTTCAAGAAGAACCAGAATGCTCTTTATTGACTTCTTTTTAAATCTCTTGCGTCTCCCATAGACTGAAAATGAGACATATTGTGTAAATACTGGGTCTTCTCATAAAAGCATCTTCTCTTGGCTGTAACTTTTAAATTTAAAAATGCTAAAAGATATTTTGATGAAACATTTATTATACCTGCATCACCCACATATTTAAGTGGTAAAAGTGCACAGTAATTGTTTCACTTTGACCTTCATCTATAGTTATAGTTTAAGGTCAAAGTAAAAAAAGTACCAAACCAATTTCTCTATATATACACAGGTAACCACATTGACAGTATGTTCTAGTATAAAGCTGTTAATACTGCTACCTAGTAAAACAATAACATACATAATTTGTTGAAGTCACATGGTTTTGGGGTATACAGACCATACCTACCTATACTTTTCTATGATTGCACATCCAACAGTAAGAAGATCAAATAAGTATATTAAAAAAATAAACTGTTTACCAATTTTCTGTTAACAAAAGAAATATTAGGTTGTTTGAAAATGATGAATTTAAGAAAAATGAAATAATAAGAGAATATGCAGGTGTTCTGTTTTTAACCCGATTCCTGTATTTAACCCATTCACCCCTGAAGTCACATTTGAACTCTTCCAATTCAAAGGTTGGAATAGTCCATTATGAAATTTCAGGGGTGAATGAATTAATAATAGACATGTCTTTGTACTGTTACAACATCTAACTACATGTAAGACTGTGATGTCTAGGTCATAACATTACTATATAATATTCCAAAATTAGGATTCAGGTGCAATATAGAACCTGCAGTGACAAAACATATCATATTTCTGAGATGTTACGTCTGGTCTTCAATGGTCATTTTGAAGAAATAATTTGTAAGATGACAGGTGCCAAAATGACACACCATAACCAAATAAATTTGTTTTTAAAAAAAATTACTTTAAATCTCATTTTCTGCGATATGTTGGTCCAAACTTGCACTTGTGTCAAATTTTAGAAGTAGTAATTACTGTACAGTATATGCGTTGCTATTGAAACTCAGGACTTCAAATAAGCTAGGAAGAAAGCTTTCAAATTTCCATGTTTTATTTCATTTAAATGATTTTGTAATGTGAAAAAAATTGTAAGATTAATATAAGTTCAAACAGTTTGAATTCTTCATAGCATTTGTATCAATGAAAATAATTCAAAATCAAAACAAAATTTAACCTTTTATTTAAAAAAAAAAGAAATACAAAAGTCCTGATTTTCATATTTCTGTTGCTAACTAACTGCTTACCGACTACATAACTTCATATGTGTCTGCTCTGCTTTGCCTTCAACCAGGGATGTTACATACCGTACCTCCCTATCCTCCGGCCAGGCAACACCTCTCTTCTCTGCCCTACGGACAGTACACAGGTAACTAATGTAGGCAGTCCTACTCGCATAGGTGTCAACCTCTGAAACCTCCAGTGAGGGAGATCTCCCTCATTCCATATTTCCAATGAGGGAGAAAGTACGTGAAATACGACTAAAACTGCTTTATTCAATTTTTAGCTCATCTGGCACGAAGTGCCAAGTGAGCTTATGCCGTGGCGCGTCGTCCGTCGTCCGTCCGTCCGTCCTCGTCCATCAACTTTTCCTTTAAACATCTTCTTCTGAAGAACGGACAGGCCTAGAGTCATGATATTTGGCTGAAATCTTCATTGGTAGGATCCCTACAAAGTTTGCGAACGAAAATGACCTTGACCTGTTTTCAAGGTCACAGGGGTCAAATATGTCAAAAACTTCAAACGACTTCTTCTAAAGAACTAAAAGGTATAGAATCTTCATATTTGGCTGATGGCTTCCTGGGATAAAGCCCGACAAAGTTTGAGAATGAAAATTACCTTGACATACTTTCAAGGTCAGAGGGGTCAAATGTGTCAAACACTTCAAACGATTTCTTCTGAAGAACTGAAAGGTATAGAATCTTTATATTTGGCTGGTGGCTTCCTGGGAAAGAGACCAACAAAGTTTGAGAATGAAAATTAGTTTGACCTACTTTCAAGGTCACAGGGGTCAAATATGTCAAAAACTTCAAACGACTTCTTCTGAAGAATTAAAAGGTATAGAATCTTCATATTTGGCTGATGGCTTCCTTGGATGGAGCCCAACAAAGTTTGAGAATGAAAATTACCTTGACCTTCTTTCAAGGTCACAGGGGTCAAATGTGTCAAACACTTCAAACGACTTCTTCTGAAGAACTGAAAGGTATATAATCTTTATATTTGGCTGGTGGCTTCCTGGGATAGAGCCCAACAAAGTTTGAGAATGAAAACTAGTTTGACCTACTTTCAAGGTCACAGGGGTCATATATGTCAAAAGCTTCAAATGACTTCTTCTGAAGAACTGAAAGGTATAGAATCTTTATTTTTGATTGATGGCTTCCTTGGATAGAGCCCGACAAAGTTTGAGAATGAAAATGACCTTGACCTTCTTTCAAGGTCACAGGAGTCAAATGTGTCAGACACTTCAAACGACTTCTTCTGAAGAACTGAAAGGTATATAATCTCTATATTTGGCTTGTAGCTTCCTAGGAAAGAGCCGAACAAAGTTTGAGAATGAAAATGACCTTGACCTTCTTTTAAGGTCACATGAGGCAGATATGTCAAACACTTTAAACGACTTCTTCTGAAGAACTGGTAGTTATAAAATCTTAATATTTGGCAGGTGGCTTCCTGGGAAAGAGCCAAACAAAGTTTGCGAATGAAAATGACCTTGACCTACTTTCAAGGTCACAGCGTTCAAATATGTCAAACAGTTCAAACAGCTTCTTCTGAAGAATTAAAAGGCATAAAATTATAATATTTGGCTGGTGACTTCCCGGGATAGAGCTCACCAAAGTTTGCAAATGAAAATGACCTCAACCTACTTTAGAGGTCACAGAGGTCAACAACATTTTAATGGATTTGTTCTTGAGAACTAAAAGGAATGGATTCATAAGATTTGGCTGGTAGCTTTTTGGAATAGAGCTAACCAATTTGAGAAGGAAAATGACATTGACCTACTTACAAGATCATAGGGAAAAATATGTCAAGCAACTTCTGAAGAAGAATCAAAAAGCATAGAATCTTATAATAATATTTTGCTGGTAGTTTCAACAGATGGAGCCAACAAAGTTTGCGAGGGAAATATTTTTAGTGCAATATAATATTTAATGAGAATATTTTGCTATGACTGCTTAAATATTCAGGTGAGCGATACAGGCCCAAGAGGGCCTCTTGTTCTTTCCCTTTTACGTGTCAAAATTAGTCCAAAAAGGGTTCATTTGATCGAGACACACCTGTTATGATCATTTCACACACCCTGCAGAAACTAGAAGATCATTTGACCACAGGATGTAGATTTTGAGTTTGTGTGAGTATGGACTTGAATGAGGGAGTTTCGAGGGAGATTGATAATACTTTGTTTAAATTAGGGAGTCTCCCTCCTAATGAGGGAGACTTGACAGCTATGTACTGTAGAATAACATAATGTACAAATACTGTATTAAACCTATGTTATTAAACCTGTGTGGTTGTCTGTGTAGGGATGGAGCATAAAATCAACATGAGTAAGTGAGAAGAGAGAAATAGTGGAATGAATGTTTAAATATTTCTTAATTGTTGTATGTAAATAAATACATTACTACATAAGTACTACCACCTTGATGTTGGGCAATAAAATAACATCAATGCAACCTAGGTACATCAACAGTGTTTAGATTAGCCTTCTATATCTTGACCGGGAACATATCTAACAATGCTGTTTGTTGGTGTTAATGCCACTGAGCATATAAACTTCATAGACTAGCATGGTTATACGAATCCCTTGATATCCAGAGGTTACGCTCACTTTCGCTCTCTGCACCTCTGGAATATGTCATAGCAAAATCGAAGGCTCAGTGTGCAGCACCTTGAGGAAAGGGGGGAGGCTAATTTGGTCCTTTGATGTACATCAAAAGAATGTCGTGATTGCCTAATGGTAAAACTAATTGGCTTTGAAGTCGGGCGTTACTCCTCTGTAATCTTCAAAGAACAAGTGTCAGCCTAGTGATTGGTCAGGTTTTTGTACCTGGCACCAATCATTAGCTAGCCGCGTGCCTTCAGTTTTGATATGACATATTCCAAGGGTGCAGAGAGCAAAAGTGAGAGTAACCCCTGGATATCAAGATGAGTTTTACGTAAGAACAGTGTTACTTTGAGCCATGTAAATATACTGTGATATATTTGTAGTGAAAAAAGTTGTCTATAAGCTGTACATTCTGGCAGTCACTTGAGAACTTTATTTTGTGGTACAAAATCTGAACAATCCAGACAGCTGGTATCACAAGGTTGGGTGACTCCTCTGTGTCAGTCATGCTGATCACGCAACAGTCACTTTCCATATAAGACTAGCATGCAGTAAACGGTCGTCATAATTTTACATCAGAGATAACACATCTATATCTGATGAGCATAGTTCTTTTTATTGAATTTGTACGTGATGAATAAGTGATATTTAGACCAAAGAACAATTTATTCCGTCTTTGCGTATTGCAGAGTTATCTTCTCTTGAGAGCAGGTATGGATTGTTACGTCATTTGTTTGTGAGAGTAACGTCATCAATTTTTGAGAAAACGATGTAATTTTCTCACACGAACCAATGACGTAACAATCAATACCTGCTCTCAAGAGAAGATAACTCTGCAATACGCAAAGACGGAATAGCAAAGTTGAAATAAACTTTACAAATACAAATATAATTGTAATATGTTTGATCATGGTGGAATATTTAAGGAACTTTTATTTAACTGACGTGAGGTTTCCATCAAAGAGTCCACATGTTAAATATACCTTGAACAATGTGAATGGAGAATATCAGTAGCTGTATGTTGTTACGCTTCAGTGGTTCACAGTAATTAAACTATTTTGGTGTAGAATCCTCTGGTTGTTTCTCAATTAACTCATTCACCCCTAAAGACACACTTGAGCTCTTCCAGTTCAAAGGTTGGAATAGTTCATTACGAAATTTCAGGGGTGAATGAGTTAAGAAAAAGTCAGTTTTCTGAAAATTACAAAAAAAAAGAAATGATTAAATAAGTTATAATGATGAGAATCTGAAAATTACAAAAAACGAAATGATTAAATAAGTAATAATGATGAGAATCTATGATGTTTAATTTCCTATATTTGTTTCGAAACATTACATGGAAATGAGGATTACAAAGTTTCGATTATAGTCTAACCGACGTTCTCTTTTCTGCAGATAAGTCCAGGACTCCCCACGGATATTGAGACAAATCACATGCAGAGGACTGGAACAGTTGTATGAGTTGTCTCCCTTCCCTTCATTTCTGGAAACAGAAAAGTCGCCACTGAAGAAACATTGGATCATGAACATTGACCAGCAGTAGTTATACTGTTGCTGTCTGTTGTTATTAATTATCATAACAAGCAATAGTATGGTTAATTTGATTAAGAGATGAAGATTGTAATAATAAACACTGGAAGTAGAATGTTTCACGACATTAGAATACCGAAAATAGTAGCTTTTATAAAACCATGGACTCCACAAGCACAGTATGTTAAACAAAAACATTGAAAACCACATGTAGTAGATTTAAGGATGAAATACAAATAGCAGATTAAATGGGCAATAGTGATTAACAAGTATAAAATGTCTGCATGATTATTGACTCAATTTTTCAAATGATGATCAATAACACGGGTGGTCTAGTTTTTATTAACTTTATATGAAAATGGCACTTTATCTATCTCAATTGAAGTCAGGAAAGTTTCTGAACATCCTGCTCCATTAAACTGTATCTCAAACTGAGGTTCTGCAAGTAATAAATGTGGTATTGATCATTTTGTCTCAGCAGTTTCAAGATACAAGTATGGTCCAGAAATATCGACACATATAACGGTCAGGCCAGCCCACCTGTATATCAGGGCCAGGATATCTGTCGTGCAGTAAGGCCAGCGTACATTAATTCAGGTCATAGGTGTTACGTGATTGAAACATGACAGACCTGTTCTAATTAAGGGATTACTCTCTGGTCGGGCCACATTCATATGGAACTTTTCATTCACATACATACGTAAATTCATGAGTCGGAACACACATTAATCATAATTTGCTTTCTGGCGAATTTGTCTCAGTAAACAACCGTTTTCACTAATCAGGATTTTTTTTTTATCGAAAATCTGAAAATGAAATAGACAACAGTTGGACATTTTCATCAAATATCTGTCCCTTCATGAAATCCTGTCTTCTTGATGAACATATATGTATTTAGTTGATGGTAATGAACTGAACTTGATTACAAACCAAAAAAAAAAGAAGACAAATTTTGGTTTCCATGACAACATCATAAACATTTCAAAATGTACTATGATTTTTTTCCTTCATGAAATTCCAGGATACTGAAATTAATTTGCAAAATTGTCAGCTCCTATATCTGCTAATGCAATTTTGCTGAAAATTAATTGAAGTTTAACAAATTACTGACAAAATATACATGTCCATATAAATCATTTCTTAGGCCAAGCAAAAGACATAAATAGAACCCTGTATAATTAAAAAAACACTTTGTTAGCATACTTTTGATGAGGTTCAAATGTGTATGTTTCTTAGTCCAAATGTGTATGTTTCTAGGTCCAAATGTGTGTGTTTCTAGGTCCAAATGTGTATGTTTCTACGTTCAAACCGAGTAATTGAGCCTGGTTAACCTTCAAACCAGTTAGTTACATTGACATTCTTGATCTCGGTGATGCTCTGTTCTTGAAGTAGAAAAAACAGCTCTTTTAACTTTGGCCTAATCACTTGAGGCATATATTACATTCATAAAGGCATATATTACATTCATGAAGGCATATATTACATTCATGAAATCATTCACGAGGCAGCTAGCTTTCCTGTACTACCCTCATACTTCTCAACTTGTCTTAATGTATCGGTGTTAGTGACATTACTCGGCAAGTCAGAAATTTCAACTTTTGTTTCGTATTATTGTTCTTCAGTAAAAAAAAAATAAGACTTGAAAAAATAACTAGAGAGATATTATTTATGTCCCAAAGTACTATGAGAGAGTTTGCATGTGGTTGAAGATTTCCCCAACTTTGTGAGTATCTTGAAATTAAATAAATATGTGTATACTATATAGGTCCTAAGTATCCTAAAGGGATCAACAATCTTTCAGTTGGTAGACTTGAAGAGCAAAAAAAAACAATGATTTGTGCTCATTGAATTGTCATGTCACCAATAGCTGTTTACATTTTCATCAAACCTGTTTTTGGAATTGATATTGTCAGTAGTTTTATTGAACAGGCATATGTTATATATCTATATATATATATATATATATATATATAATAAAAAAGGATTAAATGTCCATGTGAAGCAAGTAAATATAGAAAAAATAAGATTTAACGACCAACTAGTATCTTATTTAAATTTTATTTTTTCTATATATATATATATATATATATATTATGACACTTAAGCATTGAAATACAAATTTATGATTTTGTTCCTAGTAGCCTGATTGCCCTCCTGTTTGTGGTAATATGATCCGTCACTTTAGAACTTTATCTCGCTGCTTACTTTCTGTAAGGGGCTGTGCACCTCCCTCTCTGTAATGTTGCCATTTCAACTGGGACAAGGTGTTACATGAAAATTGTATGAATCACTGCATTTAATGTAGGATTCTGAGATTCAATGAAGTTTTACAGCAAATGGTTTTATCAGTAAAACTTGAGGGGGGGGGGGGGGTACTTCCCTTCATTATATCTCAAGGAGTCATCATTGCGAGAAAGGTGAGGAAGTTGGCTGAATTTGGAAAAAGGCAATTTTCAATCATGATTTCTTCGTTAGATTTTCAGTTATTGAAAAAGTTTGAAAACTACTTCGGGATTGTGGTATGTGTCCTACAATTTTGGTTGGATTTTAAACTCTCACTCTTTAAAGATGGAGAGAAACAGTAGAATAATGGAGAGAACAGTAGCTGTAGGTATGTGAGCCATCAGTCGGCAGCATTACACTAACGAGGGAGTAAAGATAGTGCCACTGACCTTTTAACCACAGATAAGAGTAATGAAGTAGATGTGGACATTTGTGCCATTGTGATCGCTGTCTTACGGTAAAATGACCCGACTTTTCTCTAGTTTGTGTCCAGTTGCGTATATCTCGAAAATATCTCATTCCTTTTGATATTCAAAAGGACCTTGAGAAAGTGACGATAATTACAATGTTTGGTTTTACCAGATATCAGAAAATCTGAAAATGACTTCATACATTAGTGGCATTATATATCTAATGATTTATTAAAATATTATGTATCGTTCATTTGTATTTACATTTCTTTTCAAAATATGATATACAACCAACCCGTTTATACATAAAAGGTTTTAGAAGTTATCAAATGTTATGTTTATATTTTGTTTAGTATTGAAGAGTGTTAACCACCTCTACCACCGACCTTATATTGTTAACAATTATGTTGAACCCCCCACCGATAGCCTTTTCAAATAGATATTCATGTATTTTATACCATAGTATCATTTACAAATGTTTGTCCATTTTTCATTAAAATGATACCATCCTCTTTTCTTCTCTATTTCTGGCACTTGGTTCTATGAATATGTGGGGTAGTGACCAGGTCGTTGGTTTTTCTCCGGGGACTCCAGCTCTTCTCCACCACCTAAACCTGGCAGGTATAGGACGAAAAACATAAACAAACCAAATCTATGAATATGTGGGGTAGTGACCAGGTCGTTGGTTTTTCTCCGGGGACTCCAGCTCTTCTCCACCACCTAAACCTGGCAGGTATAGGACGTAAAACACCAACAAACCAAATCTATGAATATAATGTGAAATAGTGTTAGGGACATGTAGGCTGTTGAGTAGGTGTAAAAGGGACACTTTGGTAGTCTGGCTAATACTGAGGGAAATAGGATGTAAAACACAAACAAACCCATTATCACGTGGAAAAGTTATGATGATTGTTTTGATTTTCTCTTGGCATGTGTAAGTTTAAATTGTTATTACAAAACCAGTTTTTGTTCCTTTTATATTAATCTTATGAAATAGAAATTGATGTAATGTGATGTTTTGATATGTTTGAAACACCTAATTTAATCAATAAAATGGAATTTGTGCAAATAGTTTAAAACTCTGTCAAATGCATGTTTTGTTTAGTCGGTCAGAATATTTTTGAATCATGAAGAGGTTGATGTCGTTGAGTGGTGAACTCTTGACCTTTGACTTGTACAGTTGGGCTTAATTTGCCGAGATATTGAGTTTAGCTGTTTTGATTGTCATGATAGAGGTCATGTATAAATGTACAAACTTCACTGTTTCTGTTGGTGTGTCTGTGTCAAGATAACAGAGATCGTTCAGATATCTTTTGACTTTACTCTTTTTGCGATTTATTTGATTACAGAAACATAAGCCATCTTCCCTTCCCTCCTTTGTTCGTTTTGTAAGTTAAAAAAATATTATTTTTCAAAACAAATTCTACTCTGATCCTATTATAATATCTTAATTAAGAACAATTACGATAGTTAAAAATTGTATAAACAAAAAAGTGGAATGAGGACCTTACTTTAGGGGATCACATAACTGTACTTATTTTATCAAATGTATGTATTGCGTACCTTACATTGATCCAAGCCAGAAACCATTAATAAAATATATTTGCCTTCATATTTCCTGCTATTTCATTCTAAGCACGTACAATGTTTGATGTCGGCAGCTACAGGAGGCCTGTTTTATTGGGCTTGGTAATCAGTTAAAGGATACAAGTATTTGCTACCTTTCTGACAAATTTCATTAGGTAACAGTCATTGATTACACTAGTAGTCATTGTTAACATAGGTCATAGGTCATTATGAATAGTTAAAAAGTGCTAATTATTTATGTTTAAAGGAGATGATTTGGGTAATCATAGGTGAAGGTATCGGGTAACAAAGCTTTTGTGTGAGTGACGTTCTGTAGAGTTCCAATAGATCCCCATACTGAAAGTACTGCAACATACTAGTACATAGAATACTCTGATAGCAGGCCCCGTGTATATTATCATGGTAGTAACGTACCAGTACATGGAATTATCATGATAGCAGGCCCGGTGTATATTATCATGGTAGTAACGTACCAGTACATGGAATATTTTGATAGCAGGAAAATATGGGTTTGTATGTTGCATGAATGAAGTGACAGTGTAGCTGTTGCGAATTTGTGGAAATATTCAGTCATCGGAATTAAACACAAACTTGTATACGTTTATCATGTTTAGTAGACTAATTAATGATGCATGGAGGAAGTCCCATTTCCGAAGTCCATATAGTGATATACTGTGTATATTGCTGGAGACGGATTTGAAACAGTTGGTTGTCTCTATATATAATGCATCATAATAAGTATGCCTGTACAGTTTGCAGCGTATAGACTCCACCAGTATTCCTAGCTGTCCCTTTAAGTTACTATCGCTCATCTGTTCCTGATTTCTGTTGAAACCTCTCCTTCTTAAAGGAGATACGTGCATCTTTCCATAATGTCTCGATCTGTCAGATGTAAAAAAAAAAAAAAAAAAAAAAAAAAATAGAAAAAAAAATAGAAAAAAACTTGCAACTTTGAAAAGCACCGTGATGAGACGGCAACCACGTTAAAATTACGAATTAATGACGTCAACAACTTCTCTCGGCATGTCGATACATTACCCTTATTATGTAGATATCACGGAGTCGCACGTCGTCAGATGGCTGGCAAAAATACCTAGCTGTCCCTTTAAGTTACTATCGCTCATCTGTTCCTGAACGTGCATCTTTCCATAATGTCTAGATCCGTCAGATGTAAAAAAATAAAAGTAAAAAAAATACTTGTAACTTTGAAAAGCACCGTGATGAGACGGCAACCACGAGCTAATTACGAATTAGTGACTACAACAGCTTCTCAGCATGTCAATTATTACCCTGATTATGTAGATATCACGGAGTCGTAAGTTGTCAGATGGCTGGCAGAAATATGTCAGTTACTTTGAACATTGTTCTTCTTTGTGTAATTCCCGACAGAAATGATGAAATGTGTGTGTGGTCGTACAGTGATCGTGGCTTCCATATTTTGTACATATTATAAAAGTAAGATTGAGAGCCTGCCACAGAAACTGGTCCACATGAAATATATTTCTATCCAACACTTTAATTCAATGCAGAAAAATCCATGAACTTGAAGTTGAGTAAAGGTGTGGATAGGTTTGTTTACTTTCTGATTTTTGTACAGAATGAATGGAGTGCTGGTTGATTATAGACTAATAGTTTATGATATTTCCTAGAAAATTGTACAGAAAATACCAATAATGTTCAAATGGCAATTACGGAAAACAATAAACTTGAGACACGAAATTATTTCTTGTTATATTTTATTTAGCATGTCTTGGTCAAAAGTAATGCTGCCTTTATAGTCAAAATTAATGTATTGAGCTAATAAACCTTTTCTGTCGGATGATTGATGGAAGCTGTCATTGCAAATGATGAGGCACGCAGTGGCTTTTTGTGGCTACCAACACGGGGCCCATCACCGGTTAGAGCGAATGTTTCATATATCATTGATACACTGGGACCTACAAATTTGTGTACCGAAAATTAACATGCCAGGAAAAAAACGAAACATTTTGACACCATGACAAGAACGTGGATATCCCAATGTGTGTCCATGGAAAAATATTCTCTGTACACAGCGCATTGTTCTCCAAAGTAGTCTCATTGCGGACACTTCGTGTTTTGTGCGGCAGGATGAATCCTCGAAATCCAAGGATACATTCTCGATACAATCTTCTCTGTTCTCCAGGAATAGGTCATGAAAAACTGGAATGCTCTCTACGTGGTACCTTACAGATGATCCAAGGAGACTAGTCTGGTATATTAGTGAAGATCAATGCAATCGTGCGGTAGCGTAACGGTAAAAGCGACAGACTTTGAAGTTTAGTGCAATTCCTGTGTAATCTTTAAAGGGTAGGTATTACCACCCTAGCGATTGGTCAGTCTTTAAAACCTGAAACTTTTCACATAGCATTTCGGGAGCCTTCGATTTTGTCATGACAGATTCTATGGGTGCAAAGAAGTTGTTGGTCCCTTGGATTTCGAGGATGGAGGGGATGCAAACACCACTTCTTCTAAGGGTGGGTGCCTCTGTGTTTAAACCTTCATGTTTATTTACAACACTTTAATACAGTTCTTTGAACAGCAATTTAAGTGTTGACAACGAAATTGATGACGTCACAATCGAGATTGATGACGCTGCAATAGCAAATGTTTTTTATAGTCTCATAACAACATTTGCCTTCTCGATGCAT